TGAATGAATTTTTAGAGAGACATAAAAAGAGAAAGATTATTAATAAAGCCCGTATGTTTTAATTCTAATTTTCATCATAATGGTACCCCAAAACTGCATTTCTCTATTATTTTTAAGTTAGCAGTTCTTAAGTTATTTGGCAAGAGACATTATTATATAGGTATAATTCATAGGGAATTTGCAATCTGCAAATTTGTTTCACAATGAGTGTATTTTGTTTCAGATGATACTTGTTTTTCTTTAAAATTTAACAGAATTGTGCTGCAAGTTAAATTGTATTGAGATGCCATTTTACCAAGAGCTAGATTAATTCATAGAAATGTCACTTCTAATCCATTTCATTAATGTTTTCACTAAAATAAGAGGCACCAGACACTAAAGTTGCCAAATGAATGAACATGGAAAGTTCAAATTTACATGGAGTAATGTACTCCTAGGAAAACATGTGACACAGCTATAATTTTTAATTGTCCCTTATTGTCTTGGGTTTAATTCCTAAGTAAAAAAATAAGAACATTCAGTCAGAAGGACAATCATTGATGCAGAGCATTGGCAACTTCAGGCATATGTCTCCCACGATATTGTTCTCTGTGTGCCTCCTGATGCCCAGTGCATCTATCATTCCATCTGTACAGCCTGAGTGGTAATGAGCAGCAGACACTCAGCAGCAGTATCTGACTAAGTGCATCAGTCAAGACAGGTCCAGTTTTAGCTTCATTCTACTTCAGAGTGGTGTGACTTCACTGTTTGATATGCTGTGTTTTTGACAGCAGGAATGTCAAAGTTAAACAAACCTTGCTGAGTTGTAAGCTTGCTTTCTCTGTGCTTGTTTTTGCTGGGACCTGGGGGTTGTCAGCATGGGCTTGTACGTGATTAAGTAGTTGTAATAGTTTCCTGTGTGAACACTTCTTCACACTCAGAAAGCATTTGTGTCTTAGTTTGACCTGTTTTAGAAATGCTGGTAAAAACACCTGGTTTGGTTATCTTTTCAGTTTTAAATTCACACGCTCGCTTCCATTTTTACACCAATTTTCCCATTATGGCATGTGAGTCCTTACTCTCACATTGTCATCATCCAGACTTAGTTTTGTCTGTTTATAAGCAGATCCTGTGTGTAGAAAACTACGTTGTTTGTTTCAGGAGGGGAACAGGGAAGAGGATTGCTCGCTGAATTTGATTTGTAAGCAATCAGTAAGTTCTCGCCAGTAGTAATAAGTAGTAGCTAGTAGTAGTAAGTAGATCAGCTATGAAAGTTGCTCACTTTCTTATGAGTGAGGGAGAGTATTGCTTGTGCAGTGACTGTGCTTCAACACAGTTTATTGACCTCTTGAAAAACTCACCCCTAAACAGTATCATTTTGTTAATACTTAAACTAAAGGCATGTCTTAGAACAAAGTGAAGGGTTTTGAAAGAGTCATATGTAGCAAGTTATGAACAGTGTGGAATTTATTCGTCTAGCATCATTCACACCTCCTTTCTGGGGCTGTAGTATTTTGACTGTGAACAGTATAAGAGTGGCAAAAATGACAGAGCTCTTGCGCAAAGGGAAGGGAGCTGAGAGTAGAAGGTGAAGACACAAATCATTTTGTGTGACAGTCTTCACTTGGAGTGTTCTCCTCTTCAACTCAGTAATCCTCCTCTTCTGGGAACTTCCAGACATTTTCCCCTTGCTTCTGCAAAGCGCTGTGTACCTCCAAAGACGTTGAAGGCTGGCGATGTGTAGTTAGCACCTGGAGGTCCCCTTGCGCTGCACTGTTTGCTGCATTCTTCCTTGAGCAGCACCAGCAGCAAACAAAGTGGGAAAAAGCTTGTTTTATGGAAATCTCACATAATGCCTTTAAGTGAGGTGAGTCATGTTTGCTCTTTTAGGGAGTTTGGAGTGGTAGAAGACAAGCAGACAATAACTGCTTAACAATCAAGCTCATTTTGAATGGGTGAGTTATTCTAAGTGAAGAAGAACTTTGGTGGAGGTTTTTAAAGTGAGATCATCTAATAGTTAACGATTAGAAAGGTCCTTTCTTACAGAGGACTGGCAAAGAATGTTGTCACCTGATGAAAAATTAAATTGATTTGTTAGAGGGTAGAGCTTTTTTTCACATACACAAACCATGCAGCTTTAAACTGTCCTGAAGAAGCGTGTGCAATACTGCTTTTTTTCTTATATGGGTGAATCTTACAGATAACTCAAAATCTTCCCTAGTAGCTGAAAGTTAAGGGCCTTTTATGTTGTTGTTAATCAAGTAGGATTTGTAGGGTAGTTTCAAGGGATGTTTTTATTTTCACTAAAAATAATTTTGAATTTGATCTTAAAACCCAACCATTTTGCTGAAGTTTATCAGCCATTTCTATCTAGAAGCTGATGAAATGTTGTAATCTACATCATTGCTTCTGATTATGCAGTCAAATATCTGGATATCACATATCCGTGTTGGGACATGGTATGTTACTTGTTGGGCTGAATCAGTTTTTCTAATGAAAGCTTCATATCTGCAAAATTACCTCCCACAACAGCTAGAAACTTCTGAGTGTTGCTGCTTGAATTTCATGTAGTTTGTTACCTGAATCTCTTACCAGCCTTGTTTTTGTTTAGTCTTAGAGCGTCCTGGCTACTCTCTCAGCACTACATTCCTTTTCTGTTCCTAAGGACTCCAGCACTATTCTTATCTGTGTTATACCTCTTCTTCAGAAATCCATGGAAACCCTCAGGGTAGGAGTACCCCCTTTCTCCCTTCTGTTTCTTGTGGAATGAACTGTGCTCAGGAGTCATGATGGAAAGGAGGTTTTCCCCAGGCAGCACTGTTCCTAGTGTCAGGCCATTCCTTGCTTCTTGGATAGTCCTGAACTGGTGGACTCCCAGTCAAGACTTCCATGCCTGGACAACAGGGTACCTGTGATTTCTCAGTAAATCTGAAATCACTTGTAACACTTTTCTTATTGAAAGTAAAGTTATTTAACTTCACAGCTGGATGGTTAAAAGAGACAGTCAAAATTTGGAGGGACATAAAGGCAGAAGTAGAACTGTCCTTTGTAGCTGCCTGTATTTTAGTGTGGCTCAAGAGGTTGTCCTCTCTGCTTTGTCTAACTAAAAAAGCTGCCAGGAGACGTCACACAGTGGGGATCCATCCTTAGATGTCACCTCCCCAGGTGACACACCCTGGACAGGAGGTTGTCCATCACTGAGGAGAGTTCTTTCTGCAGAATCCTCTGGCTATCTGGCGTTCATTTTCACCTCTTCTCAGATTTTCATACAATACAGAGTCTCATTCTTAACCAGGACTCCAAACATTTCCCTGAGGGCTGTTCACCACTGCAGTCTCTATGACTTTAAACATTTTTACCTCCATTGCTATCAGCTGCCCAGACAATTAACAATACTTTTTGCTAGCTGTAAACAGAAAACCTGACAGCTGGCCTGAGGTTTTATTTGGCCATAAACAAAGCACTTAACCAGCAGTTTCAACGGAGTTTTTTGTTCGGATAGCTGTGGGGAAGGTTTTTCTCAGCACAAAACCCTTAAAAATGTAGATAATGAGAACTGTGCTTCATGGAAATAAGAATGCTGAAAAATGTGCAAATGTGCAAGGGAGGTTAATGAATACCAGCTCATAAATAGCCCCTCATTGGGAAGATGATTGCTGTAACTGAACAGAGATTGAGGGAGACAGCTGGAGTGGTGCTGCAGTGCGGGTTAGTGGGGTTAGGGTGCAGGTTATAGCAGTGACAGCTCACTGCTGTCGTGCACAGGACACTTGAGCACGGTGGCTCGGTTCTAAATGTGGTCGGTGTTATTTTGTTTATTAATGTGGCAAATTTCAATTGCGCACATTATGTGTTATCAGGATTGAGGCTTCTTTCAGGCTTACGTCAGAGAACACTTTTCTGAAAACCTGAATATATAAACCATCTTTTACACCAAGAGATACGCACATCCGGTGGTGCTGCGTTTTGTTGGGTACACAGGATGCCATGATTGTTCTGTCTGTGCTTGGATCTGAAGGGCAAACAGCTCATTCATGACAAAGGTGTAGCTGGTGTGAAGGGACCCAGCTGCCAGGTCATCCATTCTTCAAGGGCAGAGTGTCTGGGTAGCTGCTCCTCAGCACTGGGAACTGGACGTGGAGGTGATGTTGGATAACTGTCCCCTGCCCCACAGTCATGGAGGTGATGCTGGAAAGGCTGTAAGCACTTGGAGCTGCCCTTTTGGCCTGTGGATGTGCCCCATCTGGAATTAGGACATCTTCTTTCATGAGTGAGATGACAAGGCACTACTGCGATACATGTAACAGAAACAAGTGCTCCTGATCCTTTGTAGAACTCAGGAAATCCCACCACTGTAGAAGCATTTCTAAGGGGCATGGGTTGGAAAAATGCTAGCAGTTGCTGTAAAACTGGCATCTCATTTGGTTTTAAGGCCCTGCATTATTTAAGTTGCTGGTATTTCCCTGGTAACATGGACAGCTGGCATTCCAAGCTAGAGTGAGTGGAGAGGCATTAGCCCCACTGAACACAGTGCAAGGTTGCTAGCAACCCTACAGAGCAGAGACTTCTTCCTGAAAAGCATTAGATGCACAGATCCCGAAATTACAGTGGAAGCAGTGTCTGTCCTGTCATTGGGCAGGATGGCAGCAGGCAGGGATGCCGTGCTGGTATTTAGATGACACCTGCTGGTCAAATGTCCCCACTTGTCACGGATATTCTCCATGCACAGAACAAGGCATTCTTGGATGTGCCAAGAATGTGTTGGACTTAATGTGCCATCCTAATGGGAAAATGAGCTCCTGTGAAGAAAGCATATCCCTGATCTTAAACTGTCAGCTGGTGTCTTTGGAGAGGTTAGATCCAAACCACAGGAGAGAAACTCCTTGAAAAGGGCATCCCCAATTCAATTTTTTTTTTATCTTGGCTCTGTCTCACAATGTCAATCCCATGTGTAAGTTTTACAGCCATACAGTTCAAGCTTGAAAATATTTTCAAGACAGCATTGCTTTTTACTCTTCCAGATACCCACAGCTTTTTCAAACAGCAGCAGCATCGGAGGGAGAGATGGGAACAAAACCACGCAGCTGCCAGGAGGGTTTCCCGGCGCTCCGTCAGCAAGGAGCGATGGGTGGAGACACTTGTGGTGGCCGACAGCAAAATGGTTGAATATCATGGGAGTGACCATGTGGAGTCATATATCCTCACCATAATGAATATGGTATGTGCAATGTTTTGGGGTTTGTGGGTAGGCGAATGAAGCAAACCTGAATTTGATTATGCTGCTGATCTTCTAACAGGTCTGCAGTGTTGCTCATGGAGAAAAGTGTAGTATCATTAATATATATGAATTGAAACTCTGTATTTTTAAGTAATTTTTTACTTTGTATAGGCACAATTTTTCTCTGGATTTATGTGAGATACGTCTCATAGCTGTAAATGCTAGCACTAGCTTTCTTTTCACTGTAATTCTGTCTCCCTTGGAACCTATTTCTCAGTGATTTCAGATTTTTGACTATGGCAGAGAGAAATTCTGCAGGTTTTAAATAGACAAATTCTTTCACATATTTGTGGATGAGAAAGGTACACAGGGAGCCTGCTGGAAATTGTAGTGACTTTGCAAACCATTTTAGCTTTTTTTAACCAGCTTGTTACTGTTTTGATCATAAATCCAAACAGCAACATATGAACTATTATGAAGGAAGTTAACTGTCCCAGTTGAAGCCAATACAGCTTTTTTTCCAGATAAGTATCCTTCTTGGAGTACAAAGTTCACATTGGAATAAAGAAAAGTTGAACTTCAAATGCTTTCCTTTGTGGCAAGTTTCCAAGTAAAAGTGGTCCTGGGAAAAGCCATAACATCTGCCCAAAGATATGCCTTCTGTTATTAATACCTGTTATCAATATTATGTGTATCATGGTAGATATTGAGCTTGAGAGTACATTGAGGATGTGTTCTGTCTGGTTATCATGGAAATGTGCAATATTTGTGGAGGTAATCAGAGTGCAATTCTAGCCATGGTGACTGATCTGTCCTGTGAGTTTATACAGTATGTCCCCAGCTGTGCCCCAACTTGCTGCTGAGGCAATGAGCCTGAATAAACAGGTGCAAAGGTTGTTCGAGCACGTGAGGTTTTGTCCACACAGGGAAAGTGCCTGGAATAAAACCCAGTCATTATCAGGTTCAGGAACAAACAAGACTCAACAGTCTGACCTTAGATATTAGGGTTATTTAGAATGTTTCAATTTTCGGTAGAGTACCTTGAAAAAGATCCATATCCAAATCAGACCTCTGTAAACACAATTTCTACTTCATTTTGGTATTTCTCCTTTAGTGATCTTCTCCATAACGGTTTTGACCCAAAGACTTTCCATTTTGTTCATCCGTATTTCCTGTGATAGATGGCATAGGTCACACATAGATATGTATAGATACATTGTGATTATCTTCTGCTCTGATTCCTTTTCCTCCTGCCTAATTCAACATTTTGATGATGTTTATAACAATTGGGTCACATTTTTGCAGAGTTCAGTTCTTGTTGCTTTTTATGTGGAGTCTTTTTTGAATGGAGTTGTTATCTTTGCTTTTGTACTTGTCATCCTTTCCTGTACTCTGAGAACACAAGAGTAGCCATTATTCAAATAATTTCTCTTTGCCTAGTACTGACTAAATTTGCTTTTTTGTGAGAGGATCCTGTTTATTTAAAACAGGACAATTTGATATGCTGGTTTATTTGCACCCTGAATGTACCTTTCCGTCAGTGTTATATGACTGTAGATGTTGTGTTCCTTTCTGCTAGTATTTTTTATGAACTCAGAGATTTTTGAATCTTTTTAATCTTGTTTGGGCTTTTGCTCTTTAGCTTAGTAGCTTTAGCCAAAGGCTGTATCATCATTCATTAGGCAGAGTTGGCCTTTGCAGTAGTTGTCATATTTTTGGATTTCAGTAAACTTTCAATGATTTAAGAATTTAAAAAGTAAACCAATCCCCAGATCAACAGTATGCTAGAAGTAAATGTATTTTCTCTCTGAATTGTGTTCTACTGTAGAGGAATCAGTTAATCTCATGTCTCCTGGCTCTGGCACAGGTCACAGGGTTGTTCCATGATCCAAGCATTGGCAATGCAATTCACATTGTGCTGGTGCGGCTCATCCTCTTTGAGGAGGTGGAGGTAAGGTTTTTATTTACCTCAAAATGTCTCTTACAAAACTTCTGGGTTCAATGCATTGAGCTGTAATTATATTTGTTTAAAATAATGTTTTAAATTTACTCTGTTAAAACTACAATGTGTCTGGTTTTAGGAGAAATGGTGCCCTGGATAGCAAAGTATTTTAACTGATGACTTCGGGTATTTCTGCATAAAATTGCATAGGAAACTGTAATTATAACAATCAGGTTAAGAATGGGAAAATGAAATCTCCCAAGTGTCAGAAGAACATGGGATGCCAAAGAAAACTACATAAGAAACAGAAGCTACACATCAACATTCAGGATTTAATTACCTAGCATTGCCTAAAATGTATTATGAAGTGTAGTGCTATGCTATTTGCCGATCTCTGAAGAAGTAAATCTCTTATTGTGCAGTTCAAACACATATTTTTCTTTTTTAAATCTCTTGAAATGAAGAAAAATGGGGACAAAGTAGATATTAATTGCTGTAACTAGCTGTATATTGATAGTTTCCAATGTGTCTATCTCACAAAAATGTTAAAATATCCTTGAATACATGCTGATTGTCATGATTTTATGGTTATTTTTTAAATGCAGTGCACAATAGAGCTAGCTCTGACCAGAGATACACCTTAAAGGGATTTTCTCAGTGGCTTAGAATTTACAACACAAGCCAGATAGTCCCAGTGCTATTAAAGGCAATAAACTGAACCTCATGACTGTGTCTTCAGAAATATTTGTTGGTATAGAGTCTGTCCTTATAGCTCTCAGCATAAGTGGGACAAAAACTTGAGGTTTCACCTAAACAGGACAATCAGGACCTGAGATCCATGATAATCTTCAATTAACTGCATTTCCTAAACTTCTCTGGCTGTTTGGGTAAAAAATGTGGATTCCTGTTGAAGAATGACAGTGTTGTTTTTAGGTTCCCCAGAAATTACTGTCTGGTAACACTTAATCCCATACTTTGACGCTTGTTGAAAACAAAGCAAACTGAGGCAAGATAAAGTGAATGTCCAAGACCAGAAATTAGAAAATTCAATTTTGGATTAATTAATTTTCCATACTTTTTAATTAAGGTTTTCAGTAATTTGCATGTAAACTGTATAATGATAAGTTGAGGAAGAAACTTTTATGACTGCATTGTTTCTCTTTGGAATTGAAAAATATTGTGAAATGAATAGTCTGTTAGAAGCATAATTGTTGTCTGAATATGACAGTGTTCACATAACATCAAGTGACAAATTTGATCACAAAGTCCCACAATAAGTAATCTTCACCTTCTCTTCAGAGGAAAATTTGATTTCAAGAGAATATAAAATGTTTGAAAGTTTCAGTTCAGTGTTGGATCTTATGAAGCTCATTTATCAAAATGTATGTAGAGTTCTGCATTCTATAATTTTCCTTTAGTTGCACCAATTACAGGAATGTCAGCATTTTAACTTAATATTCAATGTTAGATAAATAGGTGTCATTGCTCCTCATGATGGCTCTAAATTCAGGCAAAAGCATAATCAATTACATTTAGATTACCCATCATCACAGCTGACTTCACTGAAGTGTTAGTGCAGTGTAGTGTGGTCTTTACAGTAATATATTCCTTCATTTCCCATTAGCAAGGCCTGAAGATAGTGCACCATGCTGATAAGACATTAGCCAGCTTCTGCAAGTGGCAGAAGAGTGTCAATCCCAAGAGTGATGTCAACCCCACACACCATGATGTGGCTGTGCTTCTTACCAGGTATGAGAGCAGTGACTGGCTGCTGTTCAGTTGCATTTCTTTGGTAATGACATTTCCTTTATAGGCTCCAGCCATCACTTAGTTCATCCTGCACAGAGCTCAGAAGCGTGGTCGAAATATTGGTGATGCTACATGTGCATACAGGTTAGAAGAGATGCATCTTAGTCACAAAATAGAGATTTGTGGCTCCCAAGAAGTGAACAATTTCCACAGCTCGGGTCATTTTCCTCCCTTGATCCTATCTCATTTTGTGCTCAGTGACTGCTCTATTCTCCTTTGACACAATATACCAAAACAAGGTAGCATGCAGAGGAACAACTCCTGAAGAAATGTGCAGGTCCAGCTCTGAAAGGACAAGTATTATTCAAAGAGGGTGCCATTCATTTTTAAGCTTTAAAACATATGATTTTTAAATACCTCCATATTTGAGAAGACACAAAATTATTTTTAATGTCTGAGCACAGGAGGAACAGAAAACTTGAAAGTGAGGTTATCTGAGGTTATGCAGGGAGTTTATGTCATAGCATGAAATGGGACCTCTCCAGGTCTGTAAAAATTGATATAGAAGAGATTGAGTCTGTGATGTAAAAAAACCAGCCCTTGGCTAAACTCTGTCAGGCAAAAAAACCCAACCTAAAACACCCCTCAAGTGGCTCAGTAAAAAAGAGTCACAGAATCTTAGGTTGGAAGAGAACTCCAGATCAAGTGCACCCTTTGACCATTCCCCACCTTCTCAACCTTTTCTCAGTCAAAAATCTTAGGAATAAGAATGTGAGGTAAAGTCTCTCAATGATGTGAGATTTCACTGTCCAAATATAAAGCACTCAGACAGTTCACTTGAATGAAGCTGAGCTGTGGTGACTTTAGTAAACTATGCTTTAAAATGCTGCCAGACATGGAGGTTCTAAAACTTGGGTTTATGGGAGTTGGTAATGAGTGTATGTGTCTAGGCACTGCAGCTACAAAAATACTGGCTGCAAATTATAGCAGTATAATGTAGTAGTAGAAAAAGTGCGTGTTGTTCCATACATGTTTGTAAAAAGACTTACCACTATGATTTACTCAATATGAAAATTAGCACATTATAGGATAGAAGCTGGCTACCTAGTGTCAGTGACACTCCACAGGTGGTTTTAAGCTCTTTAAATGGCACATCTCTTCTGTGATTGTAGAAAGGACATTTGTGCTGGCATGAACCGTCCCTGTGAAACCTTAGGCTTGTCCCACCTGTCGGGCATGTGTCAGCCTCACCGGAGCTGCAACATCAATGAGGACTCTGGCCTCCCCTTGGCTTTCACTATCGCTCATGAGCTTGGACACAGGTACAGTTGACAGGGAAGGGGGAACCTGTCTGAGTCAAATTTGTTATTTGCATGTTAATACTCAAATTGTGAGGCAGAAACGAAACAAAAAGTGAGTTAAGTCTCTATTATTAAAATCAAAATTTATTTCAAAGCAGAAAAAAAATTCTTAAGCCTTTGATGTGTGTTTTACATATACAACTATTCATCAGAGTGAAATAGCATCACTCAATTGTGCTAACTTTTCCAAACACGTGCTAGATTTCTATGCAATTACATTAGATAATCTCCAGATTATCTAAAAAAACATTTACAGAGAGATAAAAAAACATTATCCAAAAAACATTTACAGAAAACAAACCTGTCTCACTATGTCAAGGTGTTTCAGTAGTGCAGATTAGCTAGAAAACATATTTAACTGCTATAGAAAAACTATTATATATTAATCTTATCATATATTTAATATTTGTTATATCCTTTGTATTTTAATGAACCAGTAAAGTCTTTTAGGGCATTTCTTAGTCAGTGGTATTTTCTGTATAATAATGCTATGGTGGGTACACTTAGACTAAGATAAATAAAGTTCATGGATATTTCATTTTAGATTTTTTTTTTTTTTTAATGATTGGGTATTTCTGTTTGAACTAAATTTCTTAGAATTTTATGTTTTTGGAGGTGTTTTGATTGTTTAGATGGTTTATTAACTCACTTGAAAAAACCCTGATTTTTGAAATTGTTTTGACATAGCTGTTATCCTCAGGGCAGAGCATTATCTCATGGACACTCTGGTCTGACTGTAATGCCTGCACTTTTCAGCTGGACTCTGTTGCTTGGCTAAGTCACATGTTCATTGCTTTATCTACAATGACATTAATTTCACTGTGCACCAGCCACCAATCAAGATGGACTCTGTGTTTCCTTATAGGATATAATAATGATGATGATGATGGTAATGACCATGTTGACCATTAATTGGCCACCATTTATTCAACCTCACCACTGTCAGAAAGGAAATTGAATAAATAAATAATTATGAAATCACTCCAATTGGGTCTGGGTGCAGTGGGTTTGTCACTTGGTCCCCATAGCCTGTTGCTGGCAGGAACTGTTTTCATTCACACTGATGATCTGAGGAGACTCCTTCCCACAGCCTGATCCATCTGTGACCTTCTCCTTGTCTGTCCTGGCTGGCTGGTGGCTCTGTGTCCTTTGGGGGCTGTGGGGCTCAGTACTGCTGTGCTTGCCCTTGCACGAGTGGTGCAGGGCCTTTCCTTAAGGACTGGCTCCATAAGGGATGTTGAATACTGCAGGGTTTGTTGTCACACTGTTGACCTCAAGCCAGGCTAGTGTGCACACGTTGAGAAGTTCAGGTAGGGACAAGTTTGTAAGAACAGATGAACAAAAAATAAGAGACAGACATGCTCCCATATCTTAGAGGAATGCCAAAAGTCAGCTCTTCCCCACACTGTCTGTCTAGATGTTTGCAGCCTTAGGATTCAACAGACCCTGTTTGTGGACAAGAGCCTGTCAGAAAGGGGAGATCCGTGCATTTGTGCTTCTGAATCATTACTGGAATTGGTTCTGACTGAAATTAGCTCTGCTTTCAGAACTTTTGAGTCATGATATGATTAGATTTTTGAGAAACGTGGTCTTAAGTATTTTGAACACACTTTTCTGATTCGTGACTGAATCATGACCTGAGTAAGCTCTCACTGCTTTCAGGACTTACACACTCCAGATGTTAACAATGTAGGTATCAACATATTCATATATCAATATCTATGTATGTTATTATTTATATTATGCGATAATGCTCACTCTGAGGTGGTGAAGGGGCATGTGTGTTTACTCAGTTGAATACCATCCAAACTTTTGTGTTCATGACTTCTGGAAGCTCTTGAATAAAAGAATTTCTCAGCAAGTCAGAGATGCTGGAGAGAACCTGCTGTGGAGATCTGCTTACATAGATTGGGCAAATTAAATGGGATGGAGGAATTGAGGTTGGAGGAAAATTCACTGAACATTCAATAATTTTGTAGACAGTGTCTCTGGTGCAGTCTGTCAAAAGTTTTAGAAATGAAAAAAGCAGTAGAGATATTATTATGAGAGAGTCTAAGACAGAATGTAACAAAGCATCATCTTAGTTAAGGTGGTACAAGTTTGGGTTCAAGAGTTAGGGAGCAGTCTTAGCTCTAACAGCTGTTACCTAACTTTTAGGTTTAAACTTTAATTTCTGCCCCAGCTGTGCACTAGTATTTGGACTCCCTTAAAAGTACAGAAGTATAGTCTGTGACAGCATGTTCTTTATTTTGTGCAGAGCAGTATTGTTGTGCATAGCAGACATGTTTGAAAGCCTGTGGGGGTGTAGATTTTTCATAGATTTTGGGTCGTATGTTCTCTGTGTACATTTTCTTTTAGCAAACAGGTAGCTACAGCTCTGCAGGGGAGGAAGCAACATAAATGTCTTTTTAAGCACGGAGTGGAACCTCTAGGTAGGTGTTGTGGTACAGCCAGTCAGCTGGAATTACTAGATGTTGTTTTTTACCTCCAGTTTTGGAATCCAGCACGATGGAAAGGAGAATGACTGTGAGCCTGCTGGAAAGCGCCCGTACATCATGTCCCGACAGCTGCAGTACGATCCCACTCCCCTCACCTGGTCCCAGTGCAGCAAGGAGTACATCACACGGTTCCTAGAGTGAGTGGTCAGGTTGCAGCGTTTGCCTAGATTGAGCATAGCTGTGCTGGAGTTCAAAGTATATATTGTATTATTGCATTGATTATTGGAGGAGGTCTTAGTGTGCTTGAGTTATTTTCCATGGGGGACATACCACTGTCCTGTTGCTCACTTACTTGGGAAAAGCTCAGTGTAGTCTTTTACTCTGGAAATGAACTCAAGTCCTGTCGTATTGGCTGGGGTTTGGTGCAATCTGCAGCTTTTTGCAGTTACCAGGAGAAAGAAGCCTTTCCATCAAGGGCCCTGACAGAGCTCCATGGACTTTGCCTTTGGCCACAGTGCCATGTGTTTGGCTTCAGTGACTTGTTAAAATCTGTTCCATTCTTTTTAAGACCAGCGATGTGGTGCAACTTTAACCGCAGAGTACGGGGTTCTCTGAAGCCACTCTGCAAACTATACTGTGCTCATGGTGTTTCCTCTTTGACAAGCTGTATTTTGCCATTTTAAAACCATCTCTTGCTAGACAGAGTAACTACTTTGTTTGCAGCATTTCAGCCTAATTTGGCTGGAATCTGGAAGTATTATTTACATGGGCCAATCAAAATTACCCCTAAGAAATTGATACTAAAAGTCTGTATAGAAACATCAAAAAACTGTGGTGGTAGGGAGTTTTTTAATAGGGAATTTTTGTCTTTTAGTCGTGGGTGGGGATTCTGTCTGGATGACATCCCCCAAAAAGAAGTTTTAAAGTCCCCAATCATTGCTCCTGGAGTGATTTATGATGTGCACCACCAATGCCAGCTTCAGTATGGTTCCAATGCTACATTCTGTGAAGACGTGGATGTAAGTGCTGAATGTTTTTCTTCATTTTCCTACTAAGAATTCAAAATTCTTGAGCTGCATGGAAGTGTATTCAGTGCACCTCATTTACAAATGCAGTGTGTTTAGAGTCTCATAGGCTAGTGCAGTGCAGGCATTGCCTAACACACTTAATTCTGCATATTCTGGAAGTGAGTTGTTAAGCTGTTTGCATTGTATTTCACAAAATCTTTTCAGTATCTCAGCCATATCTATGGTTAAGTGCCTGTCCTCCTTCTGCAGTGGAGTCGTTTTGGTTTTAAACTTGTAATACTAATTCTAAGGTAAATTGTTAATCCAAATTAAGTCCAATTTTAAAATATTCTTCAACCTTGTGGCTTTCAATTGATCTAATAATTCTGGGAACAAATCTTCAGTTCCAGGAAGAGTTTTCTGAAGAAATTAGGGTTCTGTTCTCTTCCCATACATCCTGATTTTCATACTCTTTATGATCTAAAAAACAAAATAATATTTCAGTCCCTGTGGAAAATACTTACTTTGAAAACCAGTATTTTTGCATGGAACATTAGATATTTTTGCAGAAGTGTATAATTCATAGAGTGCCCTGAGGTCTGTCTCACAGCACAGCAAAGCAGTATTGTGAGCAGATGCAAGGGAGAAGTGCAGTCACAGCAACCCTCACAAGATTGTGGAGCCCTGCGGAGTAACAGGTTGTATTAGCTAAAATACAGTGGTATGGTATTTTACTTGAATAATGGTACTAGAATAATGCTCAGAGGTCTTTGGGTCTTCACATTGTCGAGGTTATCGTGGGTGCTGTGTCTTCAAAGAGACAGGGCAGTTGCTGGTTGTAGTGAAGCTGATTTTTGCGTGAGTACATCAGTCTGGAAGGCAAGGAGCTCAGAGTGTTAAAGTCCATGCTAAGAGCTTTCTGGCCAAAGATGTTTTGAGCAAAAACAGCAGCAGCAACAGCAGCAGCTCCCACACCTTTTTTCTTCTTCCTTCTTCTTTCTCACCCCAAAACAAGGGATTTTTTTCATAAATGATCCAATCAGCTATAAGTACGATTCTAAAACATTTTTCTTACACCAGTCTGAGCTTAATTCTAATGTGTGGAAGTGGTGTCAGTTCTTACCCAAAATCCATGTACATGATTTTATCTATTTACGCAAAACGTACTACCTGTTTCCTTACCCAAAAACTGCGTATATAATTTTACCTATTTACATTAGTAGTTCTATCTGTTCTATCTAGAAACACAAGCAATGTTCTGCTATGTTTTTGTTATGCCTGGACCTAAGTTAAACTAGGCTTTAGGGTCTTTTACTAGCTAACACAGTCTCTTAAGGCACTTGAAATATATTTTTACTTACTTAAAATTAAAACTTACACTTCCGTTTCATGTCTGTATGGCTTAATATATTTCAGCTTCTCTAGGGATTCTAATTCAAACCTTGCATTTCTTTTTTCTTCAAGGAACTCAGAGAGGCTTCTATTTCATGCACTCCAACACAGCATATTTATACATAGAACAGCTCAGCAGCAACGTTTCCAAGTGCTAGCCTAGCTAAATGATCACTAATTTTCCTGTGTTTTGAGCAGCAATGTTCAATAAATGCTGGAGACAGCACCCAGCCTATTGGCCGTGTCAAACACAGATGTGTTCTGGCTGTTGGCAGTGCTGGTATGAACACAGCTCTGGACTGGGCACTGCTGATATTGACTGTTTATTCCATTCAGATAATTGTGTGGATCTCCATCTACCCTTCTCTTAGAGAAATTATTTCTGATTAATCTTTTCAACCTTAATAGATAACATGATTACCAGTGTTGAACTACAACTGCTGAGTCTGAAGAAGGTACTGAAAGATTGCTTTCATTACCTGCTGTTACAGTTTCCTTAGTTACTGTAATTTGTCTGTTGGTACAGATAGAAAATTAGGATGTAATTTTGCAGTACTGGCTCAGTCTGTCTCTCCTTGAATTTGAACCTAATAGGCCTTTACATTCGCATCTCCTGATTAACCAATTTTACAGCTGGACATATGTCAGAAAATTAATTGGTATCCTCTCGTTTTGCATTTTACTGAAAGGCCTCTATTTTGCTGGTAGTTGCACTGGCAGGCAATGGAATTGGGAACAGTAGGGTCAACCTGGGATGTTGAATCATCAGTCTTTTTGTCATTTTGTCTAAGAGGTCTGACTCTTTTTTGCCTTTCCTCTATTTACTTGGCCTTGCTCACAGACAAGCTGTTTTTGTTTTGTACATTTTAATGTCTGACTGAATTTGATCCACAGATCCTTTTTGAAAGAACAATATGCATTTAGCTGAAGACGCCCTAGAGTTCACTTAGAAAAAGCTAGTATTTATAATTCATATAGTGGTTTTCGTGAAGCACTTTGGCAGCAAACTGTCCTGTGAAGTATGCAAGTATTGTCCCTCTAATAAGGCAAAGAAAAGCAAAATATGTATTAGATGGAGGAATTTTCCCAGTCATAGCTAGACCCATAGCTTTCTGTAGAACAGCCTGTAGGATATCAGAATACTCATCTTAATCCCTTTTTCTCTAAAAATGCCATTGGCTTCCATGAAACAGAGGAGTTTTTTTGGATTCAACTTTCTTCAAGGCACAGACCCTTCATAGATTGGGTGGAAAGTGTATATCATACTGCTGATGAGGAGAAAACCTACTTGCTTTGCAGTGAGTCCATAGCAGAGTCATGAATTTCTGTGTGTTCCCTCCAAAGGCATGCAGTACATAGTGCATCCTCTCATATTGTTCTTTTTCATATTGTAGTGCATCTCTTCTGCTGTTGTTTCAGTATTCTTAGAGGCAGAAACCAGTTATGGGATATGGAGATACATATGGAGAAATCCTTGCAAAGCTAAAGAATTCCCTTTGTGAATTCTTGACTTTGAAATCTATGGGTGCACCTAATAACAAAAGTAACTGCCAAGGAAAAGCTGTGTTTCTCTGTGCCAGTTTCTCTGATATTGTCTGAGGATGGTGCAAGAGTACACTTTATGCACTAAAACTACCAAATACACTTTATACAATAAAACCACAAAATATATTCCATGTACAAGAGTTTAAATAAAGGATGACTCTGATAATGAGAGAAAATTCATCAGCCAGAACACTTGATTAGCTCTGCCTTAAGAACCTGGCAATGATGGCTTCACAAGGCCTTCATAAGGAATGCTACCCTTGAGGTATAAACAGAGAACTGCAAAACAAAGTTTGTTCTGTGTACATTGCCCAGAAACAGTGAACCAAGATGCCCAAGTGATCCAGGCATTGTATTCCAGCTGGAGGGCTGGAGTGCTTTGAGATGTTCCATGCCATCAGCTTTTTTCTGGTGCTCTTTTTGACAAATCAAGGTAAACACACAATGGAAGAAGTAAATGAAAGTGAACTCTCTCAAAGCTTGTGCCCAAGCTTAGCCATTTTAAACAGAAGCAGGTCAGAAATGGGCAGCCAAACTCTGCATTTCCCACTTGGATGAACATTGCTGCTAACTCATTGGGGCTGCATTTTTGGAAGCGTGCAGTTTATATGTTAACTTCCACATCTGGTATGTGGCTTCCCCATCCCAGTGGGAGCTGCTAGTGGGATCCTTCTTATCAACTCTTTTCTGTGATGGCATTTGGAGCCATCCCTTCTTCACAGGTTGATGCTGCCAGTTGTGTTCCCTTTTCCAGAATTGGACTATGACATCCAAACAGCCTGAGTCAAAACCTGGGCTTTTGCTTCTGTTGTTCCTGTTGGCAGCATGCATTCCCTCTGAGAGCCCTGCTTTCTCTGCCTTGGAAGTGGTGTTTCATGCAAAGCCCTGATTAGTCAGGAGTTCCAAGCATACAGGGCTCCTGCATGCCAAACAAAGAAAAGCTGGTGTGCATGTGAACTGAAGAGGGAGAAATGGCCTCAAGCTCTGTGCTCCCTTTCTGGAGAATAGTTTTGACTGAGGGAAGTGGGTTTGGTAAAAGGTAGCTGGAATGTTTCTTGCCCTGCTTTCTTTGTTGCCTCTCAGGAGTTTCTGTCTGTTCTGTGGAGCCACTGCACATGAAGCAGCATCTGGAATGCTGTGTTTTATTGGCAACCTACTGCATTAAACTGGCACCAGTTTCTGAGTTACTTAAAATGCAAACATTCACTAACCGGAGCCTTTACTCTTCCCAGCCCACTATGCTTTTTTCTCTGCCAACTAGCTGGCTGCATTTTTTTCCTGATCATTTCCTTGCCATCTCCCAAGCTGATGTTTTAAGAAGCCTGATCACTTTTTCCTCATGTACTTTTGGGACCACCATTAATATTGTTGGAGACATGCTGTTGTTTGTATTTGCCTGCCTGGCTCCTGTAACCTTTGATTTCACTGTATGTTTCCAGGCAGACAGCAATGCAGAATTGAAGATGGTATTGGTTAGTACTCGTCAAATGAAAATTTTTCAATTTTCTGTTCACCTTATCTGCAAACAGCAGTGACCAAAGTTTGTTAAGCCATTGTGTTTTCCTATGAGTTGAGCAGCCAATTAGGAGAATATTTGAAGTCACATAGTGCAGAGAATTCACTTGATAGTATTTACAATATTTTTTAATTTTTCAAATAGTCCCTTTTTGCACAGTAATGATGAGTAGCTAAATTTGGACCCTTGGTAGTTCCTATCTTATGAAAAACTCGTACCCCTCTGGGAATACAACCCTTACAAGACTTTTTAAGTGGCTGTAAAAATCTCTGGGAAGCTTTTGAAAATCTTGGCCATAGGAGTTCTGCCCTGCCTCAGACTGCTGCAGTTTTCTTCCTTTTTCAGAACCTTTGCCAGACCCTCTGGTGCTCAGTGAAAGGCTCCTGCCGCTCCAAACTGGATGCAGCTGCGGATGGCACTCGGTGTGGAGAAAACAAGGTGACTGTGAGCCACACTGTTTACAAGCTTTGCTGCCTGCCAAAGTGCAGAGACGAGCTATGAGTAGCTCTGTTATTGCTGACTGTGAAGGAGGGTCGTCCTGTGACATCTCTATTTACATTTCCACTTAAGTGTTCAACTCTTATGAGCTGAAATAAAAAATAATTCACAGAAACTAAAAAAAATCATGATTTCCCTGTGATAATGATCTGAAGCTCTCTGTGCTTTCTTTTCTCCCCTCAGTGGTGCTTCTCTGGTGAGTGCATTACAGTGGGGAAGACTCCCGAAGCAATCCATGGCGACTGGGGCATTTGGTCATCCTGGTCCCATTGCACAAGGACATGTGGGGCAGGAGTTCAAAGTGCAGAGAGGCTGTGTGATAATCCAGAGTAAGCTGAGTGCACTATCTTTCCCTATTTTTTGTTTAAGATTTTTGAGGTTCTTATGACATTGGAAACTTGAAACTCTCTTGTATGAGACTGTTACCAGCATGTGCCACATCAAGACACCACAGATACTGACACCTCTCTTCCCAGCTAGGCATACCTGTGTGAAATTCAGCTGGCTCATCTTTTACAGTCATCTTGTTCTTTATTTCTTACCCTCCACAGAGCTTATTTCAATGCAAAATGAATTTAAAAAACATACTTAACATTTGGGCTTTGCAGAAATAGTGTAAATATTGCTTTATTCATACTGCAATGAGTAAATAAATGTTGTCAAACACCAGGTGAGAACAGTTTCTAGCAATCTGATCCTGAGAACTCACCTTTCGTGTTTTCTTCTAGTCATCAGCTTTGTTTGAGCTTCACACACATGAGTTGTCAGGTATGGAACATGAAAGGCAGAATTCCCCACTACATATCTGAGTTCATGAAGACTCCACATCTCATTTTCACAAGTCACTAATGCCAGGAATAATTTGTCTTTTCAGAGAGAGCTGTCAAGTGCACTGCAAAGTGTGGGATTCAAAGCAGTCCATTTGATAGGTTAATTTGCTGTGAGCTCAGCCAGGTATTGCCAAGCACTTTTTTGGGATACAGGAGTTGTCTGTGCTTCATACTGACATGTTTGAGTACTCAAACATGTGATGTGAACAGTATCTCTACCCTGTCAAGGATTCAGACTCACCTTGTTGTGCTAATGGGGCCTGAAATACGTTTTTGGTTTAAAACTTTTTTTTTTTTTACCCGGTCTCATGTCCCAGTCTCATGTTCCGTTTCTAGACCCCAGTTTGGAGGAGACTACTGCACTGGAGAGAGGAAGCGCTATCGCATGTGTAACATCAGCCCCTGCCACAAGGACTTGCCGACCTTCCGTCAGATGCAGTGCAGTGAGTTTGATACAGTTCCCTACCAGAACGAATTCTACCACTGGGTTCCTGTTTATAACACAGGTATGAAGCTACACAATTTTTTAATGTCCTGTGTAAAAAGTCGAAGTTACACGCATGTGAGAAATGTCTATGAGGGTGGGACGTCACTGAATTATAAGTTTTCTAATGAATTAGAGAGAAAAATCTGGTGTGCTCTCGTGTGCTGGTGTGTCTTTTGTGTGAACAAAAATGCAGTGGTTCTTCTCTACACTTGGGTGTTTTTACAGAGCTCTGGTGATAATGGCTGTCATTGTAACTAGTTCAGTTCCTGAAAAGATATTGCACTAAAAAAGCTGTTGAAGTTATGTCTGTGCTATTTGTTTAGAATAGATCTAATCCATCTTTTCCAGTGTCAATCACAGAACAAGTAGAGTAGTGTGGTGTAGAGCTGCATCCTTGGGCCTGCAGGCCTCACTGCACCAGAGCTCTTCCACTGCACATATGATTTTACTACTTCCAAACTCTGAAAGGTAGCTGCACTTGACATTACAGTGAAGAAGTAATATCTGAACTGGTTCAGTATCATGCTGCCCTGTATTGTAGAGGCAGAGTCAATGACTCTGCTTTATAACTTGCTTTGGAACAGCTAGTTATACAAGGGAAATCATTATTTGTATGTAGTTTGATTCTTGGGTTGTGCATAAATGTAAAGTGTAGATTATCCAAGAATCACAAAATTTTTAGGGTTGAAAGTAATATCTGGAGACCATCCAGTCCAACCCCCCTGGCCAAGGCAGGGTGACCTGGAGCAGGTGGCACAGGAACACATCCAGGTGGGTTTGAATGTCTCCAGAGAGGGAAAGTCCACCAACTCCTTGGGCAGCTGTTCCAGTGCTCTCCCATCCTCTATGTAAAAAAGTTCTTCCATGTATTGAGGTAGCATTTCCTGTGTTCTAGTTTATGGCCATTGCTTTGTCCTGTCACTGGGCACCACTGAAAGGAGTCTGGCACCATCCTCTTGGTACTGGCTTTGAGCTATTTATATGTATTGATGGGACCCATTCTCAGTCTGCTCTTCTCCAGACTAAGCAAGCCCAGCCCCCAGAGTCTGTCCTCACAACAGAGATGCTCCAGTCCTTTAATCATCTTTGTGGCCTCTGCTGGACCCTCTCCAGTAGCTCCTTGCTTTTCTTGTACTGAGCAACCCAGAACTGCCAGACTCTTTCTAATGGATCCCAGGAGCCCACGGGCCCTCCTGGCTGCCAAGAAACCCTGCTGGCTCATGGGCAACCTGTCACCCACCAAAACTCCCAGGTCCTTCTCAGCAGAGCTGCTCTCCAGCAGGTCAGGCCTCAATCTGTGCTTGGGGTTATTCCTCCCCAGCAGGATCCTGCACTGGCTCTTTTTGAACCCCACTGAGTTTCTCCCTGCCCAACTCTCCCCTCTATCAAGGTTTTGTTGAATGGCAGCACAGCCTTCAGGTGGATCAGCCACTTCGCACAGTTCCACAGCAGCAGCAAACTTGGTAGCAATGTGTTTTTCAATGAAAAAATAAGACAGACAGGATAGGGAAGATCAGGATTAAACTTCCAGTTTCATTTGCCAGTAGTATTTTTCAGCATGTTAATTGCTTTTTCAGTTACTGGAAGTTCTGAATTGATTTCCTAAATTTCAGCTACTGTTTCCATTTCATGTAATAAATACACCATTGAAGATGAACCTAGAGCAGGCAGACTTCCAGTAAAATTTCTGATGAAAGAAAACATGGTTGATGGAGATTTTTTGGAAGAAATCCCAGTAAATCCATGACAAATGCTAACAGCCTAATGTTGAGGCTAAAACCAAGCTCAAAAAACATTTTCTGCATTCGCCTGTCATTGAAATTAAGACCTCTATTACTCAGGGTGTGCTAGTGCAGGGTACAGCGTTCATTCTGTTCGTGTCCTTTCTGTGACACTGCAACAGAGCAGGTAGTTCTGCATGCGCATTTCTTACAGAAGGTCTGTTTCTAAAGGAAATTGAGCATCATGAGTCAAATGCCTACTGCACACTGGAAGGCAGGGCTGTGCTCTGTCCGTGCTGTATTTCAAATAGAACAGTTCAGAACTGTACAGACAAACCAGCTCTATTTAAAATGCTGTGCTACTGAGCCTGATACATTTCATCTGGAAAATCCTTTGCAAAATCCTTCAAATATCAAGGAGATTTTTTTTTTCTGTGGCTTGAAAACTTCTTGACTGTTTTCACCCATTTTCTCAGCAGCCAGAATTCCAGCATAGATTTCCATGTCTTTCCCATTACCTTGGAGGCCCTTAATGTTTTCACGTTCCACCAGCAACATTTAAAGTGTTTTCTTGCTGCTAAACCCTTAACTTAAAGTAAAACTGGCTTCCTCAGACAAAAAGGCTCTCCTGGTAACACTCAAGTGAGTAGGGAGATGCCCAAATTTGTGCTGATCTTTCATCTGACATCATTGTATGGCTGAGGGTAGGTGGCTCTTGTGGGCACACTGCTTCCAGTGTTGTCCAGCCAGAATTACCTGAAATACATCTGAGAGTTTTCCTCCCATCTCACTTTCAAATATTTTTTCACCTTCTATCTGTGGCTAAAGATGTCCTGGGCAAAATACCTGCAAATAAGATCATGAAACATTGCTGTCTCTGAGAGACACAGGAGTTTGGGCCTTCCTTGCATGTGTGTGTCCAAACAAACCAAGACTTTAAACAACAGCAAACAAACAGGCTTTTTAAACCCCAAATGAACTGATGTTTCAGATCTCTGGAGACTTTACTCACAATGTCCTAATATGTACACCAATCTATGTCAATTCCCTTACTTACTTCTTAACTTGTGGAATCCAATTTCAAGGATTTTTCACAGCAGTCTGTTACTATGTTGTCCTGCTGCCAAGAAGGCTTTGACTTTTATTGTGAGTTAATCCTGCCTGGACACCAGGTGTCCACCAAAGCCACCCTGTTGCTCCCTTCCTCAGCTGGATAGGGGAGAGAGAATGTAACAAAAGGCTTGTGAGTAGAGATAAGGGCTGGGAGAGATCACTCGCTGATTACCATTGTGCACAGACAGGACTTGGGGAAATGCGTTTAATTTATTAGAAACTAAATCAGAGTGGAATAGTCATGGGACACAGTTTTCCTTGAACCTCTCCAACACAAGTCCTTCTCTGCAGTTCTTCTTTAGCTGCTCCAGCATGGATCCTTTCCACAGGCTGCAGTCCTTCAGGAATGGGCTGTTTCAACATGGATCCCTGGTCTATGGGTTCTGCCAGGAGCCTGCTCCAGTGAGGGGCTCTCTGCTCAGGCCACAGCTCCTGCCAGGAGCCTGCTCCAGCACGGGCTTCCATGGGGTCCCAGCCTCCTTCAGGCACACCCAGCTGCTCTGCTGTGGCTCCTCCAGGGGCTGCAGGGGAATCTCTGCTCCCCCTGGGCCTGCAGGGCCTGCAGGGGCACAGCTGCCTCACCCAGGGCTGCACCAGGGGCTGCAGGGGAATCTCTGCTCTGGGGCCTGGAGCACCTCCTGCCCCTCCTCCTTCACTGACCTGTGTCTGCGGAGCTGCTCCTCTGTTCCAGCTGCAGTTGTGCAGATTTTTTTCCACCTTTTAAAATACATTATGCCAGAGGTGCTGGCTCTGTCACTGGTGGTTTGGTCTTTACTGGCAGCAGGTCCATCTTGGATCTGTCTGATGTGGGCTCTGGCAGTCATGGGGGAAGCTTCTAGCAGCTTCTCAAAGAGCTACTGTGACAGCTACAGCTGGTTTGAAGCTGCACAGATAAAATTGGCCATAACAGAAACTTATTTGGCTAGCTTAGTTCATTAAAACGTAGAAGTGTGGGAAATGGATTTGCCCATTACCAAGTCCCTAGATAAGACAATGATAAGTAGGATTTGAACTCAAACAGGGACCCCTGCCAGTGCCAATCCTGAATGCAGACATATCTTTGGCCAGTGAGCTGGGCAGTGTTGGAACCTCGACCAGTTGGTTGTTCAAGCACAGGAATTTTGAACCCCCTATAAAAGGGAGTGTCCATCAATGAGCTTTGTCTGTTCTTCAGTGTGTTCAGTTTTGTGCCTGTCTCCAAAAATGTGACCAAATGTGGTGACCTCTGATGTGACACAACAGCTTCTGCTACCCCTGTAGCCCCCCTGCTACCAAAACCTGGCCATGCAAACCCAGTACAGCTCCTGTTTTAGTGTCAAGCATTTTCGATCCTCTCATGCTGCACTTGGGATATAAAGGGGAAAGAAAGCATAATTAAGCTTTCCCAAGCCCTGAGTGCACATACATTTTTTATGTGCAAGTGTCTAGCTGAGGAAATAGATTCCTGAGCCAGACATTCTGTGACATTTTAGACATTTTCTGTTCCTTCATCCCACTGGATAAAAAGCATTAAATTTTCTGGATGGTCACAATTTTCTCTCCTGGCTTTGCTTTCATAGCTTGCATAAGGCAGTTATAGCAAATGTCATGTACTTAAAGAGTCTTTTCTTGTGTGTAAATTGTAACTTGTTGTGTAAATTGCAACTTCACAAGATAACAAAGACATTTTTGAATAGCTTGTGATTTAATAAAACAACCAGCTTTAACAAGCAGTCTCACAGAAAAGCATTAAGTCACATCTTGCTGTTTCCTAGCCTGTTGTTTGAGGTTTCAGTTGAGAATTTTCTGGTTCAAATGGCTGTATGCCTGTTGGGGAACTTGCATGGTCCTGTTATGGAATTGCTCTGGACCTCAGAAACTCATGTGCTCAAGTTGGAGCATCAGAGTACCCTTGGGAATCTTAAAATTATGGAGACCTCCAAGTTCAGGAATGATAAACTATCCAGCAGCCTGAGCAGGATATTTTCTGAATTTTTCTCATGACCCAGGCCCCTATTTTGACACTTTGGACAGGCTTCTGTACGTATCCACTTCTCTTTCCATCAGACTGACCCCATGTTTATTTATTTCATACCATTTGACAAATTCCACTGATATGAGTCTGATAGCATCTCAGGGTTTAGCTTCCATCTATAAGTCCTACATTAAATCATATGATTACCTTTATTTTCTGTATCAGTGCCAGGATCATTTAGTCAGTCATTAGCTCAGATAGGGGTTGTGTTAAAATGTTATAAATTTCATATTTCTACCAAAATATTTCTGTGTATCAAATAAGATATGTTCTGATACAAGGGCTGAGCTAACAGGATGAAATGTCCCTGTTTCAAAATTAAACTTGTTTTGGAGTTCCAGGCTTAGTTAAAGTGATAAGTAGCTTCACCTCAGTTTTTTTTCCCATTTTGTCTGTTTGGTAATTGTCTTTTCTAATTTTCTTTGTTTGGGATTTCCTCAGTCAATTCTGAGTTCTCACAGAGATTAGGAGTTGAAGAGAAGAGGCTCACCTCTTTTCTTCCTTGTGAAGTTGGGAAAGATACTGAAGCCTTATCTTCTTCTGACAGGCACGTTAATCACATCCTTCTTAGTCAGGTTAAGCTGGATCCCTCCTGCATGTGAACTCATGGGAATCAGCTGTAAGGTAAACAAATTTAAATTGGGAAGGAAATATCTTCCTTTCTACTTATCTTCATGTTGTTCTGTTTACACTTGGTGAATCTGAACTTTTTAATAATATACAGAGGGGAAAAATATGACATGCCCAAATTTCAGGACTTTTACTCAACTTTGCTGATTTGCTTCTTTCTGATTACAGATAAGTCACTGGGCCCGTAAGGGGACTCTGTGGCTTGGGATTCCATTTCATCTTCTGTATATTAGGGAATTGATAATTTCTCTGGTCAAGTCAGCAGCAGGTGTAAGATGTGGACACCACATAAAAAACCAGATTGTAATTTTTCTGGCCTGCTGGTTGTTGATGGCACTTCCTCTAAGATCTTACGTCCAGCTTGGAGCAAGGCACTGGCAGAGGGATGCAGCCAGACTAAAGAAGGTTGACAGGAGAGCCACATCGAAGTCAGGAGGTCACTGAGAGGGACTTTTTACAAGGATTAGTAGAGATAGGACATAGGGGAATGGCTTTAAACTGACAGAGGGCAGGTTTAGATTAGATATAAGGAAGAAAAATCTTTACAGTGAGGGTGGTGAGGCACAAGTTGCCCAGAGAAGCAATGGGTGCCCCATCCTTGGTAGTTTTCAACACCAGGTTTGGACAGGACTTTGAGCACTAAGGTGTAATGGAAGATGTCACTGCCCATGGCAGGGGGGTTGGATGATCCTTAAGACTTCTTCCAGTCCAAAAGATTCTACGATTCTGTGATTTGAAGAACACAGATTGAGCAAAGCAAGTTTTGCTCTAGAAAGGAAAACTAGGAGTGAGTTAAATGCCAGCTACTCCATGGAACATTGAAGGAGTGTTTAGCTTGTGTACCCCTGAGCTGGTGGAGGCACGTGGTCGTTGCTGAGTGCTCACAGATTGGATATAATATTTCATGCATGTGCTGGGTTGCAGGAATTTATGTATATTTTGGCCTAAAAGTTACAAGAATTACAGACTTTTTGTTAAAATCTTATCATGATTTAATTGAACTTGCTGAAGTAACTGAACCAGCTGCTTTAATGAGCTCCTTCTGAACAACAAGTGCTCCTATTCATCTGAGTTAAATCTTTTTAGATTTTTGGGTCTGAAATAAGAAAAAAGGCTGAACTCAATGCAATTCTACCATTTCAGGAAACATATTTTTTTCCCTGGTGTGTGAGTTTGGTATCTGCTTAGTGTTTAAAATATTAGGTAACTGTTCTATGAAAAAAGTATTAAAATATTGTTTTGGAGGTTATTGGCTGATTCTGATGCAGTTTATTTATGACCCTATAAAAACAGAGCCAAGATGCCTGAGCTCAACCATAATAAATAATAATGATAGGTAGATAAATAAATAATTTTAGATAGTTTAAATACCAAATACAGTGCCAGTGTAATTTCCTCATTGGTAGCCTAACCAGCCTTTCTGCAGATGAAAAATGAAATAAATAGCAGAGTTTTAGGTGAAGAAGTAAATACCCTATAATTTCCAGAGGGTCTTCATAAAATACATATAGAATGAAAAACAGTAAAAATTTGTGGGTTAGGTCTAATTTTACATCAGTTAACACAATCAGGAAAAACAGGAAAGCTTTCATACTTAGAAAGCATTTGCAAGTATGACAATTTGTTTGGTTTTTTTTTTTTCATTTTATTTTAACTTAGTAAGGGAGTTATTTTTCTTTAAAAACTGATTCTGAGTTATAGATTTACAGCACCATAATTATGGCAGGAGTATGTCAGCACTGTCTGCTTCTTCTTGTTTGGTGATTTCTGAAATGAGATTGCTTGTTTTGTCAACACACAGCGATGAAAAGGTACAGATACCAAACTTCTGTTTGACATTTTTCATTAGGAACAATGCAAAAGCTGAAATGGCATTCTGTAAAATCTATCTGAGCAGGTAACAGAGTACCTGGAATTGTAGGATTCTCCTTGTCATAAACATATTGTGCTTTGTGTAGAAAAGTGCTACATTGAGAAAGTAGGCAAGGTGAAGCAAAATTTAGAGCACTAAAGTAATCACTTTAATCACACTGCCATAAAAGGAATTCTGCAGACAGAATTAAAATCACTTGTATTGTTTACCATGACAGCTCTTATCAAAGCAACTGGTGGGAGTTATGGCTGGCAGCTTTCAGAGAGGGGCTGAGGGTTGGTGAGCATTACAAACTTTATGTTCTTGCCTGAAGAACTTTTTTATCTCCACCTCCACTGATATTCTTGAACACAATTCACATCAGCTGGAATTCCACCAGTTGTATAACCATGGTCCATGCGTGTGCTCTGGGTCTCATCACTGTGGCACTTTGTGAAGCTATTTTTGTTTGAGAAGCCAGAAGCTCACATTGGTGACAGACCTGAGATGCCACTTTAGCTCTGCTGACAAGAGGGGGAAAAAAGCCTTCATTAAGGTTTTCAATTTCCTTTACTGTTCTGGTGGGTTTTTTTGTTTTTGTTTTTTTTTTTCAAATTTGTTTTTTGTTCCCAGTTCTGCAGTGTTTCTGTTTACACAAGTGAAATTCACAGTACCAAAGCTCAGGCTTTGCAGGATTCAGTTCTTGATCTGGAAGAACTTTGAGGGGAAGAGTTGCAGTCACCTTTGTGCACTGTGTGGTGTTATGTGTATGTTGGTGCTGCCCAAACCTTTGTGCACTGTGTAGTGTTGTGTATGTTGGTAATGAGAGCAAATTTTCCTCCTTCAAAAGGATAAATCCTTTTGTTGGAAATTAGTTAGTTTATTTGCATTATTGGAAGATGGCATTTCTCTCATACCAAACATTTCTTCAAACACAGTCCTTTCCATGGCACAAACAAAGGCAGCAGAGGAGGAAAAGATAAAAATAAATCCATCAACCAGGATGTGGAATGCTTATAGCTATCCTGCATCCCTGAGACCAAGGCAGCAACTTCTGTCAACTCTGTCAGGCACAGGATAAAACTCACTCAGCATTAGCACCTCTGCAGCACAAAGTTTTAAAATTATTAAATAATGGTGCCTTGAAGTCACTGCTGACTGGTGGGTTTAAGGCCCACTGCTTTTCTCAGCAAAGCATTTCATTGCTGGGCATGAACAAGTTGCTTTAATGCTGGATGAGACTAGGGTCTTTGAATAGACCAAAACCTGAAGACAAGTCTTGTGTTGGTGTCCTTCATTAATATGGTAGTGGGTGATTTTTAATTCAGGCAGATGGTTCTGGTTCTGCTGCCGAGTTTTCAGAGAGTGTTACAAGTCCAGGGATTATGTCAGTCCTTGCTTTGACCCTAATTTCAGCTCTAACTCATCTTCCATGCACACAATTTATTTATCAGACTTGTGTCCTTTGTCTCTCAGATGTCTCAGCTTTAAGATTTCCCATTCACAAAGGCCAGTGTCTGTGAGGCAGGGACGTTGGTGTTTGGCTCTTCTTACTCCGTAGATGTAATAGATTAAGGCCCTGATCAATCACAGAAAATCTTGTTTCAGAGGCCACTTGTTGCTCTTGCTACAGCTTTTCTCTTCCCTGTTGCTTCTGTGGGACATCTGTCTGAAAACAGCCTGAGTCTGTCAGACTTGCAATATCATCCATATTTCATAAGTTGTCACGCAGGAAAAAAAACGTTTGAAATTATTTATTAAGTGCCAACAGATAGATGAAAATGATGAATGACACGTAAGATCAGAAGCAGGCAGCTGACTGCTCTCTGAGAGAGGCTGACAGCAGTGATGGAAAGTTTAAATTACCTCTGAAATTACTCAGTAACTAGCTGATGGAAAACTTTCCTGTCAGTCTCCTTGGTGATCTCACCCCTTCTCTAGTGGCAGCTGGATTTGCTGGTTTCCCATCCCTTTCTCCATCACAGCCGGTGGCCTCATTGCAGCCTCACTCAGCAGTGACAGAGAGCACATATAGGTGTGAGGGGAGCAGCCTACAGCTGCTTCCCACAAATCCTCAAGTGCTGTTTATCAGGCCTGTGTCACCCTGGCTCTGCTCAATTCTTCCAGTTCTGCCAGTTCTGGCAGATGGCAGGGAAAGTGAGCAAATGGCTCAGCAAAGACCCTGTGCACTGCACTTCAGTGTCATGCTGGCATGTTGTCTGAGTGTTCTGTTTCCCTTTCAGCAAACCCCTGTGAGCTCCACTGCCGCCCAGTAGATGGCCATTTTTCAGAGAAGATGCTTGATGCAGTCACTGATGGCACTCCTTGCTTTGAGGGAAGGCACAGCCGAGATATCTGTATTAATGGCATGTGTAAGGTATTGGGTATGTTTGCATGTTTCTTTCTCTTCAATTTAATTCTATGGCAAAATGCTTAGCCATTTTTTTGATAGGATCAAGGCCAAGTACTCAATTTTATCACATTTTTATAATGAGTTTATAGCAAAAGCTTTCAAAGTAGACATAAGTGAAATTTCCACCTTTTTAATGAGTCTATTTGACTGACTGCTGATTACTTTTGGTGCCTTTTAAATCCTCTGGTTTTTTTCCCACTATTTTAAAACATCAGTTCAAGAAAAGCTGGTTTTGATTGGAAGTTTTCACAAAGTATTGTAGCTTTAGGGTTGTAACTGGTGTCACCACTGTCTGTGGGTTTTTTTATGAAAATGTGGTTTAACTATACAGGCTTAGCTGTTCTGAGCTGTCTTTTGATAGGACTTTGCAGTTGAGGGCAGTAAAAATTAATTTAGTTTACAACATTGAATTGAATAATCTTATACAGTGGGATAATGGGCAGACACAGTGTATATGGCTCAATAATATTGTGCATGGAAGAATAAGTATAATGATGGCTGCCTATTCTTTGTGTTGGTAGCAGATTTCCAGGATGATGTGTGTGTCTGTATGGCATTTGAAGGAGTATTCTGTAAATTCTGTAGCCTCCACAATCTTAGCATTGCTTTTAGTCACTTTCTTATAAATAAAATGAGTGCTTTTCTTGTAGAGGATATATTTACATCTGTGGTTTATTTCTTCAGATTGGGGGTTTGTTCTGTACCTCCTTGAAGCCTAATAGCTTTTTTGCTTTTAGCATCTTTGGAAGCAAGAATGTGGCTTGTGGAAACTGCATTTGCTTATCTGGTATGGGAGCTGTATGCCCCAAGCCACTTAATTGTATAAAAATGCAGCTGGAAGGGGCTTCAAGAAGTTGTCTGTTTCGTCCCTTTAAAAATTATATTACTTTTTTGACATTTTTCACATTCTTTTCTTAAAGATTTCTAGTGATGAAAAATTCACATTTTTAATAGATGTTGGTACACCCTCTTTTTAAACTTCTTATTTTGTTAGAATGACAGTGCATCAGAGACCAGTAATAAAAGATGTATTTTAAGCTATCGTTGCAATGCTTGCATTTATGAAAGGTTACCAAGACCTTGATCAAGCTCACAGTGAAGAGATGCTGCTTAACTTAGCTGAGGGTCAGAAGGGGCCCTTGAACTATGATGGCTTTGAATGGTTCAAGCCAGAATGAATAAAATCTTTAGCATATTGAAACATATAGTAGATATTGCATACCATAGCAGTGCTTTTGACCTTCACTTGGGAGAGACCAGTTACCAAACTCAGAAAGGCTGTCCTTGTGAAACATTCATTCTCTGATTTCCAGCCCAGTTGGACTGGGGTCACTGTGATTAGTTTTAGTTTCCATATGCTTTCTGTATTGAAACCTTGCCTGTGGCAGTTCAGATTTATACCTGTTTTAGAGATAGCAAGACTCAATTTATCCAAACTGGGAGATCAGAGGTGAAAGAGAAGCTAATCTAACTGCAGTTTGTAGAGCCCAGATACTCTTCAGTATTAACAATTCTGTGGATCCAAAGTGTTTCTGAGAAATTCCCTCCAAGATGCTGTCAGCGTTGCACATGGTGACTGCTGCTTCACATCTCACGGCAAACAGATTCATTTGGAGTCAGGATCACAGAATGAACAATATAGCCATGCAAAATGAGACCAAATGATGAATAGGTAACACAAATAGCTCACAGTATTGAAGGGTAGGATGCTTTCATCTGAAATAGGTACCCAGCACAAAACCTGAGGAGAAGCTTTTTCCTATATCTTCATCTAATTTGCTGGTGTTTGATTCCAGCTAGCTAAACACAATAGATACATTACCGGTCCTGAAGAATAAATCTGGAAATGGGTTTAGTATAATTAGTCTGGCACCTCATTGCTGTAGTTTGATTGCAACATGTTGCTAATTATGTGGAAAAGACATTCACAAGTGTTAAAGCACTATTCTGGTTTTCAGAATTGTATCTCACAAGAGCACTTCACATTTGTCCTGAGTACTAAAATAACACTTCACTTTGGTCTGAAATTGAGAAAAATATTAAATTAATAAGATATTAGATCCACTGTCTAAATTGCTCGCATGTGATTGGCATGTAGAGTAGCTATTTTTTCTCAAGTGAGTTCAGAGTTTTCCTACTGAGTATGTCAAAACAAGATAGATAGATCCAAAAAATAATTTCATCTTCTAAATTAATCTGATTTTAGTCTGATTTTGCAGTTTGTCATGAATTTGTTCAGAGCTATCAGAGAAACTAGTCTTTCTTTAATGGCTAAATGTGGATTGAGATGCTTCATTTTAGCCATGAGAGGTATACTGGGTCCTTTCCTAGCTGGCCTGACAAAGCCACAATGTGCATCTTCAAGTGAGAAGTAAGTACAGACAGACTACTGATTCACTTGGTCCTTTTAATTTATCCTGTATCTCCTAATTTTTTGGAAGTGCTGCCCATGCATCAGTGCTGAAGGAAGGCTTAAAGTGAGGTGTTGTTTGCATGGTATTCCTTTAGAACTTGTGGAATCAAAGACAAGTTAAAATTGTTAACTCATTTGAAGGCCTGGCCTATAAAGTAGCTGGGTCCTTTCTCAATGCTGACCTTACACAGAAGAAAAGTTCTGTCAGGAGATCTGATAAGATCTGTCAATAATTTAATCTCAAATCATCAAGCTATACTATGACTATTTTATTTTTTACTGTATGCCTTTAGCACTCATTTTTCAATTGTCATTTTCCCCCTTTTATTTGGGAGATCTTTAAAGCACATAGCCTATATTCCTGTGCTTAAATTATACATCACAACTGTATTCATTCTCACAACTCTTATTTCTTATGAGGTGAGTCAGTTGTTCCCCCAGTGTTAATGAGTGAAGATACTGCCACCAGAGTATGGTTGTTTAGCACTGATAATGGGGATTTTTGATTAGGTACAAGCCATCACATCCTCTAAAAGTGAAGGCTTACATGTTCTTTGCACTGGAATGTGCAGATGGTGAGGGTGGAGGATCTGGAAACATCTGTGATGTTTCTAGCAGCCATTCATCTCCTGCACAGAATTTTGATAGGCCTAAGTGACCTTCAGTCATGCAAATCTGTGGTAATTCACAGTTGTGATTGTGAGAGACTGACATTGTACTGGAGAATTACACAGCTGTGTAGCAGGGAAGGAACCATTATTTTCTCTTTCTGAAAAGCAGATTACACAGCTTGGATTTTTATGCAGCAACTTCACCACTTCGCACTACGGTTCAGCTTTCTCCTCCCATTGCTGGTCCATCAGGACATTTGATTCAGACCCACATAGATAAATTACAAGATAAATTACCGACATCAGGACACATTTCTCTCTCTTCAAGGCAATGTCATGGCCAACATGAAGTAAACATGATTTCTTTATTTGAAGACTTAGTGGGGGAGACAGGAGGAGGGAAGACCTTAAAGTTCAGTATAGCATTCACATGATGGATATTCAAGCAGTGCCCTTCAAAGCCATACCCTTCAGTGTCAGCAAGGACTTTTTGTATCTGCCCCCCACTGCCAATCTGACACAAAAGCCTCTCCCTCTGGAAATGGAAAAAGGCCAATATTTCTGGCTGTTTTCCCTTTAGTCACTGAGCAGCAGGAAATAAATTGTTTCTCCTTCCTGTAATTCAGCCGGGCAGTTCAGGTCATTGCATCTGCCTCTGCACTGTGTGCTGTGACCAGAAACAAAGCTGATCTCAGATGCATTAGAAAGGGCTCTTGGAGAGTGGGACAATGGCACAGTGCAGCAGGGAGGGGTGGGACAATGGCAAAGGGCTGCAGGGAGGGATGCTAAGTTGTGATGCCCATGCCATGGCACACAGTGGTTCCTGTAACACAGCATGGTTGACAGGCAAAGGGTGCACAAGGACATATGTGGGTAAAAAAAAAATCAGAGCCTAATTGCTGCTGATATTATTTCCTGCTTTATAACCTGCATTAGTCTCCAGAACCCCTTTAGCAACTGCTTGTCAGAAATTCATCATGGAGTCATAGCATGCTTCAGGTTGGAATGGATCTCAAATATCATCTAGTTCTGGACTGCAAGTGCCCATTAATGGGTCATATTGATCTTGTGGAAAGTTTGAGGCATGTTTAGAAAATGCATCCACAAGAGTAAGAATAATGAGGAAAGCAAGTAAAAAGAAGAATGACACATCTTGAAATTATTCTAATGGATGGCAAAAATTATGCGGTATTCACTGGAGTAATAAAGGAAAACATGGTCTGGAAATTAAAGTTCATGGAAATTAAAGTATCTGGAGCAAATGAATGCTGTTTATTCTGAGACATGAGAATATTGCTTTGTGATGGTTTTTAATGGCTTTGTAAGATGAGACCCTGCTGTTATATGTGAAGGTCATGGCAGCATCAGCAGCACCCCAGGGCTGAGGAGTAAAGCAAAGGCTTTATTTATTTATTATACCAGAATAAATTGTTTGCCCTACCTCATTCTTGAGTATTCCAAAACCCCAGGAATGTGTAGGAATGTTGCATGTATAGGTAAGGCTCATGTCTGATCAGATACAAACTGTTTCATATATCAGGAGAACAGTGAAATACAAACTTCTGATGCTGTTACTGGAAGGGACAAAGGGATTCCCACCACATCACAGTAATGCCATATTTTGATGCCATAGATCTGTTGGTAAAGGAAATGGTCAAATGGGAAAGGTCTGAGCTGATGGAGTACAGCCCATGCAGAAGCACAGATTTGCCAATCCCAAAGGCAGGGAAGGGATGATGCTGTATTGCTGCCATCTCAGTTAGAGCCAGGGCTGCAGCTGTTCTAATCAGAACTAATTAGTTAAACCCTTGGGGTTTTTTACACCCCACAGTACTTGGAAGGGAAATATGCTCGGTGATGTTCATTTCAAAGTATCTGATTGACAGTGTGAAATAGATAAATTAATTCTGTGTGCAGGCTCTCAAACAAGAATGCACAGTAAATAAAGGACAGAAACCTTTTCCAAAACATGAATTTTCTACCAGAAAATGATAATTTGGCAAAAATATACAATTTGAAGACAAGTAATTTTTAGAGAAGTTCAAAATACAAGCTCCCAGCAGCCATTAATCGTGTTTTCTAATGGGAAAGCACAAAGCGCAAGAGTTCCATCTTCAGACTTTCCCCACCTTTCTGTTCAAGGATATATGTGCATAGTATAGAAAATAAACTTCAAATTTAATGACTTTCTAGAGTGTCATTTCTTCGGTCTAATAAAGAGCCAGATAAGTATGACTTCCCTGTTTGCAGATGATTAACAGATGTACTAAGAGTACAGTAGATGTACTGTGGAATGCATCACTGAGAAAACAGCAGCACTTCAGCCTCTCTAAATTATTAGGAAGTGTTAAAGATAAACTGGTGAAGAGACAGATCTGAATTCCTGGAAAGATAAAGAAACATCCTGTTTGTGTAGCGGTGGCATCTGTGTATTCTGAATAGTAGATTAAATCCACCCCTGTTCAAATAGCTGCATACTGGGAGGCAAAAAGTTCGTCGCCTTGCTAACATATTGTTATCTCTGTAACCTTCTGTACTGCTCATAAGTGTGGTCCTTGGTGCCAGGATCTGTGTGTGTGCAAGACATTACAAATATTTCATTTTTTGAAAGTGGCCTTTGCTGAAAGGAGGGAGAAGCCAAGGCTGCCGCAGAACCTTTGACATGGTGTGACTTTACAGAGCTGGTGTGAAAGGTGCTGGATATGAATTGGCAGTAAGTGATGGATGCATCTCTTTTTTTGGAGCCTTCTTTTAAGTGATGCAGTTTGGCACCATCTGTAGTTTGAGGCCTTTCCTTGCTTCTGTTTCTCACAGTTTCTCTAATTGTTCATTAAATTCATTGGCATTTAGACAAATGTTCAGGTATTTCTTAAGCTGAAAATGATAAAAAAGCACTAGGGGATGCAAGATTCTGTATACCTAGGTTAGTCTAATAGATGGATTTTCCTGTCAGAATCCTGCAGAAATATACAGTTGCTGATGTAGTGAAGGGGAAATAAGATCAATGTCAAAAGAGGTTCATATATCAGATTTTCATACATCAAGAGGGTGTTAGACAGGTTGGCAGGTATAGCACCTGAAAGCTTATTTTGAGAAAAATCAGCTGAGAAAACATGTTTTGGGGTGACTTTATGATATTGTATCCCCTATCTCAAACCAAGACCAAACCTTGACATACAACCAAGCTTCTGGCTATTCATCTCTATCACAGGCCTCCAGGTATCTTAGGTGCTATTAAACACTAAGTGTTGGACTTTATGCTGTGTTCTGCAATCCTGCCTGTTTTTGAAGAGGGGCAGGAAAAAAAATACTGAAACCAAATGCAAATTCTGTTGAAATTTAAAGACATTAGAGCACAGAATTTTTGGGTTGGGCAAGGAAGTTTTTTCCTGACTCAGGATGAATACATTTTAGTCTGACTTTCTTCCTATAGCAAGTATAAACTGGAAAATTAGTTTTTACTAGAACTTAACCCACTTGACCCACTGTATCTGGACCCATGCCCCTATGCTGGCAAGCTGGAGAGTCATTGATGTAAAGCGTCATGCTTACTGAAGAGTTTCTCTTTGCCAGGGGGGTTGACTGTAGCAGAGGTTCTTTGCTGTGAGATGGCCACAAAAAGCTGGCAAAGATTTCAGTTCTGTTTCTGCATTGCATTCCCAGGAACCTGTGGATGGCTCTATGACATGAGGAAGCAGACACAAATCCTAGATACAGTGGCCAGTCCCAGATAATGAAGCCATTTGTGTGGCACATTTGTGTCTCAAGTGACTGGTCACTGCTGTATGTTTTGTGACATGGTGATGGTTGTTGTTTGTTGGTTTGTTTTTCACCTTGGTGTAGTACACTATAGAGGATATATACTACATCCCTACTCAGAAGCACAGTGATAGATGAGCTCTGAGTACTTCATTGTGGAGGCTGCATTTATTCTGACGCTGTTTTTTCCTTCTAGGCTGTTGGCTGTGATTATGAGATAAATTCCAACGCAACAGAAGACCAGTGTGGAGTTTGCCTGGGAGATGGCTCTGCTTGTCGTACAGTGAAGATGATGTTTAATCAAAGCGAAGGATTTGGTAATTTGGATTCCTCCTTTAAATTCTTCCGTTGCTGAAGTCATTTCTCTACGTAAAAATGATTGAAAGTGCTTCTTGTTGAAAACTGAGGGATCATCTGCAGGGGAAATTGTAACTGAGTGTTACCATGTCAATCAGTGAATCAGTGTTATCGTGTTATCAGTGAATCATGCTTCTGCCAGAAAAAAATGCATGCTCTGTGCGTAGTCAGATCTGGTCATCGTTTGATCTGCAATGCTGTGCTGATGGCCTGAATAAAACTATTATTTTCTCACTGAAGTTGGAAAGGAAAAACAAGTTCTTCAGTCTTTGTACAGCTCTGCATACAGCAAAGGTTTCATTAATTTGTTCATGTCTGTTTTGGGAGGATATAGATTTAATTTTAATTAAAAAGGGAAGGATTAATAGCATCTGAGGGTTGCCAGTTCACAGGTGTGCAGAAGCACCCACAATAAGGTTGCTCCAGGATTTAATGAGCCCAGTGTAGGTAAGACAGCTGACAGTTTTACTGTTATTGAATCTTGGATCTCTAGATCCTTATCAAATGAAACCACATAACCAGGAACAATTCCATAATGTTCATCCACAGAATTTTAAAACAAAAATTTATCATGTTGTGTGACAAGCTCAAAAGCTTGCTGCTGATTAGCTTTCCTTTCAAAATCAGATAATGTTTATTGGGAATCAGCAAGAGGCTCTGGGAAATCAGGAAGTAATTTAGCTGGTGGGGAGGGTCAGGGAGAAGGCAGAAGATGATATACTGAATGAATGGTAACTTCCCTTACCAGAGAGTTGCAATACTTTAAAATATTTTAAAACCTTTAAAATAAGGTTTATGAGCAGCAGCAGGTGATTCAGACAAAAATAACTATGCAAAATCTTGAAAGGATATGCAAGTTTTTGTGTTGCAATAGAATACAAATTGCCTTACAGTTTTGATGCTTTGCGTTTTGAACAAATGTTATTCTAATTAAATAGAAAAATAAACCAACCAACTCAACCCTACTGTAAAAGGACACCAACATTTCAAAGCCAAGCTGCCAGGATGTGACATAATTAAGACTTTCCATGCTGTGTTTATTTTTCCTGGTTGTAAGTATGCCTTCTGATCAAGCCTTTAGTTACATAATCACACACTATGTTTGTAACATGTCTTCTCTCCACTGAATGACTATAACATTTGGGAAAATCATTAGACTTGGCTACTTACAACAGACCTAGATCACTGATTTCCTGAATAACAGAAGTGAGCTTCCAGATTTTCTTACTTCATTCACTTAGAAAAAACTGATTCATTTAGAAAAAAATGTTTCAGTTTCCAGTCAGTCAAGGAGACTTGCAGAAGGTAACATTCAGAAAATCTTCCTTCTTAAACATCAATCATTGGAAATCCAAATATATGGTTATATATTATCAATCTAATTAGGAAAGACCTGAAGTAGACAGATTCTGTTTTGCACCACAAGCAGCATAGGATATTTTAACCACTATTTATTACACCACAAAAGAGCTGCAGAGAAAATCAGATGTTGAAGACTCTTGGGCACTTACTTACAGCTCCAGGTTGTTGTACAGCACATAAATAGTTCTGGTGGGAGAAGAACATTGATACTGAAGATTGCTTAGCATGCCCAGTGTGGTTTATCTCACTCATGTGAGTGAGTAATCAAAGGTGAAAAGCTCATTTCACCAGAAAGGTGAACAGGATGTGACTCTCAGAATTTAATTCATGACCTCAGAAAGGTGTGATGAGAACTGGGGAACTCATGTTCCAGTCTTGAAGTAAACCAGCACAAAATGCAGCTCACGCTCCCAGTGCACCAGCTTGTAACAATGTTATCCATCTAATTTCTGGAGCTCAGCTAGGGGCAATAACAAGAAAGCTACCTGTGTTCATGTTCAAGTATCTATGTGAACTTCCTATTTTTACAATTTAGTAGCAACAACAATAGCAGCTTCCTGTAAGGTGAGAAGCTCAGAATCTGACATCACATATTGCCTGTGATGTGAACAGAATTCTGTAATAGATGCTTTGGGTCATTCTTAACACACAAACCAAAAATCCCTGAACAAATAACTATCCATGAAGAGCCCTTGAACTTTGTTATGAAGATTGGTAATTTACAAAAAAGTGCTGAATTTATAGTCGTAATTTGAGGCATTTGAATAAAATTAGTTTGTTATTCTTGTTGTTGTAGGGCAAACAATCGCAGAGAACTTAAATGCCTTAAGAGAAGGTACATGGAATTCTGTGCACACCTGTACATTGTGTACAGATGAAAATGTTCTTTGTAAATTGAAAAAAACCTTCCCCAACAAAGGCTGTTAACTTGCAGGAACTCCCTGGCATTTCTCCAGATTACAGTATACCAGAGCCCTCGGGCATAGTTATGGAAATGTTGATGCCCATGTGTGGAGTAAATTTCCCCTGGCACATGAAAGTCATTCACCTCCACATCCCTTCTAAATGCCACTGGCATTGCCTAAACTCTATTCCCCAACTGATACTAGAAACCTTGACTTGGAAAGTCACACTATTAACAAACTGAAATACAAGCTCTGTGACAGAACATTTGTGTCTTTTTTCAAGCAAAGCTGTAGTTTTTATCATCTTACAAATAAGTGAAATGCAGTGACATTTCTATTGTTCACCTCCGTTAATTTTTCTTGTCTCTTAGGATATGTTGATATTGGGCTAATTCCAAAAGGTGCAAGGGGAATCAAAGTCATGGAAGTTACAGAATCAGGAAATTTCCTTGCTATGCGAAGCAAAGACCCAGAAAAATACTACCTGAATGGAGGCTTTATCATCCAGTGGAATGGTGAATACAAAGTGGCAGGCACAATATTTCAGTATGACAGAACAGGGGATCTAGAAAATCTGACTGCTCCAGGACCCACCAATGAATCGATATGGATTCAGGTAAAGGGGAAATCAGGGGCAGAAAATATGTATATTGGTATATAAAACACTATATTAAAAAAAAAAGAGTTGAGCTGTTTTGGAGAGAAATAAGCACTTTGCTTTTGAGGGTTGTTCATCCTGCCTAAGAACTCAAATCCTGCATAGCACTCCCAATATTTGTTAAAGGCTGATATAATCCTGTGCTGCCACTAGTTGGTCAGTCCTTTGCCCAAACTTTCTTGGACCAACTCATGGCTGTGATGTGAACCAGATCCAGATGAAAAATAAGTTGTCACATAAAGGGAGCTGATGTGAGGCTGTGAACAGTGAGAGCTAGGGGCAGCTAACAGCAGTGACAGCTTACACAGAGCAAGAAAACATACAGCATTATATAGATGGGTTAATAGCTTGTGGTAAGTGAAACTGACCCATTTAACATCCACAGAGGCTGGTTTGTTTCTTTCATGTTGCTTTATGGATTCTGACTTATACATAACCAGTTTCTGTCAGTTCTGAGAAAACAGTTTGGAATTGGCCTTTTGGTCTTCAGAAGTGTCTCTCATGGCTTGTTTGCATGTGTGTCCACCATGCAATCAAAAGAAGTATTAGAGGTGTGATGGGAGACCCCTTTCACACTTTGAATGTCTTGTGAGAAGACAAAACTAGTGAGTGCTCAGACTTCACTTTTAATAGAATTGGGAAGAAGAATAAAAGTTTGTGGCTGAAGTATTTTTTTCCCCTTAATGATGTTTATTTTCTCCCTCTCAGGTAAATTTCTTGAGTACCCCTTCTCAGCTGGAAATTTTTCTTCTTAATTCAGAAACAATGAAAAATAATGTTAAAGCAGTGTCTGAATAGCATCTGTAATTTTCTGACCCGGAGGTTGTTTTATAACAGCTATTTCAGCAGGTAGTAAAATTATAACTGATAATGGGGATAGGCAATAGCTCTTAATCAGCAGCATAGGGATGCTTTGGATGGACTTCACATTATATTTTCTTATAGTCAGTAGAATACCAATTATGGTGACCCATTTATTCTCACCTGTATTTGCAGAAATGCATGGTAAACAGATGTGTCTTTGAAAAATTCATGTATGCCATGGTCGACAAAGAAGTGGAAATTTTGTGCGTCTGCTTCTCTGAACTGGTAGCAGACTTTATGGGCAGCTTTAATTATTCCAGTTTCACACTTTGAAAGCTCTTGACCAGTAGATTATTAATTAAACCACTGATAAACACCACTCTCTCCAGCTGCTTTTTCAAGAAACTAACCCTGGAATCGAGTATGAATACACTGTACGCAAAGAAGAGAGTAATGAGAATGAGATTGGAGAGCCAGAGTATTTTTGGCAATATGGAGAGTGGACAGCCTGCAGTGTTACCTGTGGAAGAGGTAATTCCTCACTTCCCTTTTCTCTTACTGTTTTCCTTCATTTCCTCAAAGAGGTAATGTTCTTTAGATCTGCATTTGGTGGGAAATCACATCACATGGTTACAAAAATAATGTGAGGAATAACTTGTTTACTTTAAATGAGGCAGAGCACTGGAACAGGCTGCCCAGAGAGGCTGTGGAGTCTCCTTTTCTGGAGATATTAAAGATCTGCCTGGTTGTGCTCCTGTGCAGCTTGCTCCTGGAGACCCTGCTGTAGTGGGGGGTGGGACTACGTGATCTCCAGAGGTCCTTTCCAGCCCCAGCCATTCTGTGATTCTGTGAATAATGTGTTTTCACTTCTAAATAAAAAAAATTTAAAATTGCATTAGTCATTATGTTTCTAAAATACCTGCCCTGAAATTCTCAGCTTCTGTGAACCAAAATAAGAAGGTACAGTTTTCTTTCCACCATAATTTTTTGTCAATACTGTTCCCCATAGCCTTTCTTTCCAGCAATACAAATTTATGACCTACTATTGTTTCCCTATTAAGAGTTTTCTATATAATAACTACAAAAAATATTCTTCATTTCTGTCCTGCCTTGACGAGTAATAACTCTTTTCTGTCCATTGTTCAATAGTTACTTGATTGCAGTTAGTCTTGAGAACTTCCATGTCTTTGCCTGTTTGGCAATAGCTTGGGTAGCACTGCACTTGTACTGTAGTTCTGTGCAGCACATTAAACCAGACAAACACAATGATGACTGTGAAGTAGGATTTAACAACAGGTCTGAAAGTTGTGGCTTCTGGTAACTCACACAAAATGCTACCAGGAGAACTTCCTCTGAAGTAGCTAACATTAATAGTAAACCAACAATAAGGATAAAGAGACCAAATCTTTACATTAATAATTTTTTAAATCCACCTATTGTGTGAATTATTTTGAAAATGTGATGAAAATGTGGTATATGAAGGGAAGTCTGAACTTGGGGGTTAGGAATTGTAGCCTTCTGTCTGAATTAACTCTTGATTTTTACAGGACAGTAAAAGAATTCTGGAGATACAACCATAACATTGTTCTTTGACCATTCTGTACAGTGTGAAAGGAGTAGAAGATTAGTGTTACAACCAATAATATGAGAAAGACCTTTTCTAATACTAGAGTATTGTTAATGGTTTTTGGTAATTACTGCTTTTTTAACTGCTTTGTGGAAGAAAAGGAAAAGGACAAACAAGTGTTGTAACAAACCCAGTTGTGATTCTAAAAGTAGTGATGATTGCAGGGGTAACGTTTTTAAATCTCTTCTGTCAGGGAAGACACTAAAACAATGTGTTTTTAGTGGTTTGGACAAAAGGCATTTTATGACCTAATTTTATAAGATTAAAAGGAGAATTTTTAGAAGCCTAGTGTAAAATATCCCATCCCAGTAACATCCACATATTATTTTAAAAGTATTTATATATATACATATAATCAACATATTATAGAGATATGTATTCATTCATATATATGTATGCTTGATTAGATAGATGCTGTGATTTGTTTTCTGGGTTGTTTTTTTTTTTGAGAAGAGTCTCTCAGCACAAAACTTGATGTGCTTTCTGGTGGAATGACACCCACCATTTTCTTTAAATAGGTGCACAAAACAAGTGGTTTTGCTTAATTGTGTTCTTGTAAGTGTTATTTCTGATACCTGCATAGTTCTGAGTCATATTTAATGTAAAAATTGTTGTGATAAAAAGGGGAGAGGAGGCGAATGTGTAAGTAGACTGTTATGCTGTTTTGAGGTTCTTTTTACATTAGCTGCAGTTTTCCCAGAACTGTTTCTAGGTAAATTGTAGCCCCATGTACTCTCTTCTGGCTAGTTAACTGTGATGTGGCTTTTATTTCTGCCACATGGGTTACTTATACTGATAACTGTGGTATGTAAAGTTTTTTCCGTTCTTATTTACTAATTGACTTCCTCTGTTAGCTGCATTTTTGCTCTTAGTAAAAGCTTAGTAAAAGCTCTTTTTTGAGCTTACTGCCTTTGTATAAGTAGAAATCATGTGTTTCAGACAAGATTGCGGACTTGGTGACAGCAGTTGGAGGGGAATCAGGAGGTACATCCCAGTTCATGAAGGGCACAGACACTTCACCAGTCCTCTGCATTCCTTCATGGACAGAAGAAAAGAAATGAATAAACCTGTAGTCCTCTTTCCTCTGAGATACAGATGTCTCAAGAAGTAACTGGACAGGTGTAAAGAAGGATGTAGTTTGCTGATGCAGTGATGCAGTCAGGGTATTGTTTCTTACTCCCTGCTCATTAAAACAGAGAAATCTTGGCACAGAGCTCCAATGCATCACTTGGAATGGGGAAATCTGATATGCCAATCTGCCTGCAGCTCTCTGCCGGTGCATGTTGTATTTGGTTGTGCTCTGGGCCATGGGGATGTGGACCAGCATCACTGTTCATAGCACCACTAAGGCTGGAAAACACCTGAAAGATCAGAGAGTCCCAAGCCTTGACCAAACACCACCTCATCAACCAAACCATGGCCCCAAGTGCCATATCCAGTTGTTTCTGGAACACTCCTAGGGATGGTGACTCTACCACTTCCTGGGCACCCTGTTCTAGTAGGGTTTGACTACCTTTTCAGTGAAGAAATTCTCCCTAATGTCCAACTGACTTTCATAAAATTTCCTTCTGACTTCCACAGAACCTCCTTCTGGCTGTGAACAATGCGATCGATTTCATGTGAATGTTCACTCTGTTCAGATTCAGAATTTATTGCTGTTGACACTAACACACTTGTCCCAAATCACTGACATTTGAAGTGTTCTGAGGAGTTTATAAGGTAAAAGTGCACTGAAGTGCACATCATTTTCTGCCATGGGTGTGCTGCAGGACAAGTCTTATTGAAGATAAGCCTACAGAGAGATAAATAAGAAAAGCTGTATTTATTTAGCCTAACGTAAGTAGTAAATAGCTTTTAAGGATTATTGCAAGTACCATTTTTGTAAACAATTAACCAATATTTTTTTAGGATAAAAAGGAGGACCAAGAAAGATGAACTGCTGAACTAACTTTGACAGCCACAGCCAGTGGGAGTAATTGATCCTTACCTAGACTTCTGTTCTCTTGGCAAACCTGGACCTGCCAAAGGTCCAGCACAGGTCCTTTCATCACCACTGGCCAAAAACACAGCAATAAATCCAAGGCTAATTCTGCCTTTGGTGGCCACAGAAATCAGGACAATACAATCAAATGCTTTCTGCAGCCAAGAAAGAAAATTTGCATTAGGAAATAAGAAGTTGGGCTGCAGGCAGGGCAGTAAACTGATGCAGTGGAAAAACAAAATATTTAAATGTTCTCATGGCTTCTTTCATTTCCTTTGTATGCACCCACCTATTGTAGTGTCAAAGGTGGCTCTGGCCAGTCTACTGTAACACCGCTGAACAGGAAAAAAGTACTCAGAAAAATCAAGGTTTTCTGTGGCAGGTATACCTAATCCTTCATGCAGGGAAAAGGAGAACACACTGCAATACCTGATACGCATTTCCAGTGTAGAAAATAGATTAGTTACATTGCAATCCAGTTCATGGCAAACAAGCACCAAAGGGGAGAATTTGTAGTAAAATCATAACCCTTTTTCTGTCCTCAGTGCAGGACAGGTTGAACCTCTTCCTGCCATTTGCTTTATGCTGAAAGGAATTGCTTTGCAGTCAGAATGTGTGCACACTGGTGTCCTGCAATCTGCTGCACCCTCTGGACAAGAGCTGTCCCACCAGAGCCTGCTCTCAAGACAGCAGGTAGAGCCTGTAAGCTTTTTTACATGCAGATTAATTTAAATGTGTCACTGAGGTTCTTTTCTAGACCAACTACCTATAAGTCCTTCTTTAAATAATCACAGAATGGGTTATATTGGAATTAAAAGTGTAAATACTTCCTCCTTGTCTAAAGGCTTCAGTCTTGTTTCTTAGAACCAGCTTTGAGTGGCATTAAATGTAACAAAAAGCATAGCACACCACAGCTGCAACTAAGGGAGAATATTAGCCAATATCAAAACTTTGTTTCTCCACAGATAGTATCGGTAATTGGCAGATTTTCAAAGCTCTGCTAAAGGACTTTGACTTAATTCTAAGATTCTTTTTGGGGTTAACTGTTATGTGCCCTCTAAATCCTTTACAACTTTTATAAAGGCCACTCTGCAAAATGATTTCCAAGTGTTCCTGAGCTTGCAGTGTTGGTTTTAGAATGCAAAGGTCACTGTTTCCATTGACTGTTTTGTGTCTCAGTTTTAAAGCACTGCAAATGTAAAGACTGGCACTTGTATTCTGTGCATAACTTGTGCATGCACAGAATATAATTTGCTCGTTCAAATACAAAGTGAACTCCTTGCAGAGTATCTAAGTGCACAGCTCAGATGATTACCTGTTCAAATGAGCTCTAAAGTCAAATATGCATGTTTCTCATACACTTTTTTATATACTTGCTTATGATCCTTCATTTCTGTTGTTTACAGCCCAAACTGAGGGCTCTGTGGCAAAAAGATTTCTAATCTCTCTTTCAAATGCCTTTCACACCCAGATAACTTTGAACTGGTACCTTTCTTTGCCAACCAAGTGAGAAATCAAGATATGTGTGGGTCAGCCTCACATCTAAAGAGTCCTGCGTTAGGCATGAAGTGTCACAGGGAAGAAGAAGGAATCTCTGAGCAGATTTAGTGAAATTAAGATTATTCTGTGATCTGATGATTATCTTTCTTGGTTTCTCCTACCTTTCCCAGAAATACTTGCAAGGTTTTTTTCACTGAACTGAGATAGTACACATCAGGTGAACTAATCAGCATTGAGTTCAGAAAAAACTAAAAGTGGTGAAGGGACGAAAACAGCTACCTCTCAAAGCCTTTTAGAAAAATGTTTAGGTTTCAAATTTTACTGAGGTTTCAGTATATTTAGAATTTTTAATCTGTGGCTTGAATAGGACATTACCCTCTTAACTTGTATAACTGTAAATACTTGCTGGGGCAGGGTCAGTAGTGACTAGTTGTCTTTTTCTGCAGTGTTTTTTAGTTCAACTTGCTCAAACTGATAAAACCATTTCATTATGTCATAGCATGTAAACCTACATCTGTGTGTGTGTGTTGCTATAAGCATATAGGATTCCTTCCAGCTTTGGAGCTGAACTGCCTGAGATTTTGAAACTACAGTGGGAGTTCACATAACTTTCATAAAGAGATTGTTTATTAGAATAAACTAGTTCATTGATGTCAGCTGGTCCTTTTATGAGAATGTACAGCTTCAAAGCAAAACTTTTGCAAAGGTTTATGGGGGCTTTCAAATGAATTGCAGCAGCTGAAATACACTAAAAATTTATCAAAGCAAAAGATTTGTTGTTGTTTGTATTTGGAACAGCAACATATCATGATTTTGAAAGTAACAGAAACATTTCTGCCAACTGATTTGCTTACAGCTAGCAGAAAGATTGCTGAATTTTCTAGTCACATTTATACCAGGGCATAAAAGAGAGCACTGCTCCCTGGGAGTTCTCTGCTGAGACAAAAGGCTTGCTCCTGTTTGAAGTCACCTATGAATAAGAGATCACCATGTCCAGGCTTACTGCAGTCTTGCAGCTGCACCATGCACCCATGGACTCTTGAATGCCTCAGTCCCTTAATCGTCCCTTACAGGTGACACTAATCACTGTTCTAGAAGATCAGCCTTCATATCTGACTGGGGCAGAGTCAGTCATCAAATCTTGTGCTGTAGTCAGTAATTGTTTTATATGTCTCAGTCAGAAGCCTTAAAGTAATCAAAAAACAAAAGCATTTCCTCACATACCTGATGTTCTCAGGTGTTAAAAAATAGGGATGTAGGTTTCCTTTGGTTTCTATGAAATTATCCAAACAGGCATGCAAAACTCTCTTCTGTGTTCTTGAGCTAGAGTAGGAGTAATGATTAGATTTGTTGATCCTACAGGGCTTTTCCAACCTTAACATTTTTATGGTGCTATGAATATACAGTGGAATATATTACTATTTCTCAATTATTTTCTATGGATTGCCGTTCTTATCTTCCATGTAGTTTCCCATACTAGTTATTAGGAGGCCTGAGGAAAGGAAAAGCTTGTTTCCTAAACATACTGCTAAATAGCCCAACACTTATCCTTGATGCCATGATAACAGGGCTGTGAGGCCCTGTGCATCCCAGGAGGAAGATAAAAGTTCTAGAGATGCAGTGATCTACAGTGTGTATTAATTGATATGAAAATGAATAGCACAGTTAATGGGAGTTAAAAAATGATTTTTCAGTCTTTTTAGTCCTTAAGATTTGTGTGGACTGTTTTAATGCCTCTGTATCAGTCTCACTGCAGTCTTTCAAACTGTAATGTTGCAATACTTTTGTTTACATTGCGTTGCAGCCAGAGATCTGCCTCAAATTATTGCAGAACTATGGAGAAAGCAGGCTCCTAGAAACTGGATTTCTTTAGATTCATATTAGGTTAGTGTGGCATTTTGGTTCATGTTTCTTTCTGTTAAATGAATGGAGTTTTGTATAAAATGAAATGTTAGGAAATAACCCAAATGGTTTGTATGAATTGTTTTTGTGTGTCTCTTCATAATTGTTCTTTACCTATTGTGCTGAATGTTGTGTATTATTTACTTAGAAAATAGAAGACATTTTTTATCATTGATTTCAAAATGTGCAAAAAAAGTCAAAATGTGCACCAAAACTTCTTAAAAGTTGAATTCATGTTAAGAGTCACAGGATTATTCTGTGGCTCTGGTTTGTGTTCTGCTTAAACAGCCTTCCCAATGAACAGAGAAAAGGTCAGCAAACCCAAGCTTGCTGTGAATAGCCTGATGCTGCTGTGTTTCCTCTTGTCTGTGGGTAACTGGAGAACCCTTCAAAGCCATTTAAACCCGCTCGAGGCCCTGCAGGAGCCCTTTCTGAGGCCAGCAAAGCCATCAAGGAAAGTGCTTTCTAATCTGTCACTTGAGCTCTGATCCCATCCAAGAGAGCTCTGCTTGACCTTTCCAGCTTGGCTGAGGGGTGCACGTAGCCGGGGATTCCTGCACTCCATCCCCAGCCCAGGATGACTGCTCCTTTCTCTCTCTCTGTGTGTGTGTGTCTCTGGCAGGGCTGCGGCGGCAGATCGCGCGCTGCGTGCGGAGGGCGAGCGGAGCCGTCAAAAACTCCTTCTGTGACCCAGCCACGCAGCCCAAGGGGCGGCACAAGAAGTGCCACGAGCAGGACTGCCCGCCCAGGTAACAGCTTCTGGGGCTCTGGGGGTGGGAACAGCATCCTTGCTCAAAGGAACCTCTTCCTCATGCCAGGCTGGCATGGCATCCGCGGCCTTCCATGGTGCCGTGGTGAGGGCTGCCACGCCTTGCAGAGCAAGGTGCCAGAAATTATATAGTAAACAAATCAGAAGTGAGCCATGCTGAGAGGTTTCTAAGTCAAGTTACTGAGCAGTCTGGCAGAGATAGTTCTCTCATGTATTTAGATACTATTTTTGTTCAGTTTGGGTATGGGTGTGCCTGAAGACCATATAGGTTTTTATTTTAAAACTGTGCTCTTGCCTTAGCTCAAGTGAGCTAAGAAGAATTAATATATTAGTAATTAGTATATTCCAAAAACAACTAGCAGAGCCTTTAGATGTTGTTTCTCAGTATTTGAGAATACACCTTTGTCCTTTTTATGAGAGGTGATGAGTGGAAATGCTTACTTCTAAAACTAATTTTTATACTTTCTTTGTAACACAGTACTTGGCATTTTTTATTATGGTCCTTCTTATTTATAACTTTGAGTGAAGTGCAGTTCTCTTAATTCCGTGATCACATGGGAATAATTCTTTCCTTTCTCATAACATTGTCTTAATTTATATTCATCTCTGGTTTTTCTGTGCTACCATTCTGTGCTACCATTTTAGCATTTAGTAGGGTAAGGAAGATAAACATTCCAAGTGGCTGCAGAACTGTGGGCTTGTACAACAGGCACAGATGTGCTGAAAAGAGATCAATACTGGTTTTTGTTTCATGCTTTAGATACTTTGGTTTTGTCTTCTGTTGTCTTTGAAAGTTGTTTATCATGCTGTTCACAAAGGTACACCAGTCTTTCCCTAGAAATTCTAGTTCAATCAGAATCAAATCAAAGCAATGAATCCTTGGGGTTCATGGTGTTGCATTTGCCACCAGTGAATTTCATGAAACTTTGATGTTAAAAGTTCTGTGTATTTGTTTGTTTTATTAGTTATTTCCAAGTATCTTCATAGCAGTATGTGATGCTTCTGTGGGATTTACGTCTTAGTGCTTGCAGCATGGTGTACCAGCTGCATTTCATAATTCTTTGTAGATTGCCAGGAAATCAACTGAAACTACACCAGACTTTTTATTATTTGACTAGTTAAGACCTGGGGCTACCCATACACACTGAGGTGTTTTTTCATGGCACACATAAACTGTACTATCAATTAAATATTCCCAGTTAACTCAATTTATGCCATTTGTTCTAAGTGACAACATTATTCAGACCTGCTTTTGAAAGTCAGAGAGGGGAATTTGTCGCTTGTTGAGCAGACTGCACAATGTCATACATAAACCAAACTCTTCTGCAGACCAGGCAGAAAAGCTCTTGTGTGCTGGCAGCCTGTGATGCTTCCTCAGCTCATTCTGTGCTGCAGGGGAAACCAGAAGTCATCCTTCTGAGGACAGCAAAATCACAACAAAGTGCAGTGCAGGAAAACCATATGTATTTAATTCTAGAGTTGTGTTGCATGTTTATTTTTCTCTTAGTAACACAAAAGTGACTGTAGGAACTTGACCAAGGGACTGAGTCCCTGTGCTGGCTCTCAGCAGGGCCTACATGCCTAAGGAGGAATAAGTCAAACATAAATCAGATTTCTTTGTAATGCTCTTCCAGCTTTCAACTGGTTTTAATTCAAGGCATTTCCAGAGGATTTCTTAGCTTGTCTAATCAGTAACCTCCAATGAACCTCACTCATCCAGCCTCCTTCTGCAGCCTTGAAAAATTTCTCTTATGTACAACTTCCTCTATTATATACAATGTCCTCCTGAATGCTGGAAGCAGGTGTGACTGTCCCACATGGCATTATGTGGGATAACTGAGAGTCCAGTGGAGCTGCTGAGGACAAAGTGTTCCCTAGAGAGGTGGCTAAATTCTGTGCCAGAGGTGAGGACAGTTCTGTTAAACACAACCCTGCAGGGAGACCTCTGATTAGTGCTGCAGCCACAGAACTGAAATTGCTAGGTGACCTTGAACGTCTCAGCAGTGAACCAGGTGCTTTAGAGTAGGTTCTATCAAAAAAATGATGGCTGTTCCCTACTAAATCACACTGATGAAAAACATGCTACTAGACCACTTAATAAGAAATCAATAATTTATCAAAAAGAAGCTATGGACAAAGAATAAAATGGTTGTGGCTCTCACAAACCAGATCTTACCTCCTTAATCCATTTCAGGAAGTTGTAAACTGTTTAAATTGCAGATTTAAAATTACAAATTTAAATTACTTCTGACAATTCTAAGCCCTAACATACTTGCTTGTCCCCTGATTTTCTCTGTATTTATTTTATGCTTATTATTACACTTATTATTACACTTTCTCCTAAAATAATTCAGAGGAAAATGAAAAAAACATTAAAAATATCACAACACATGTATGCCATGTTTTGATTCAGAACAAATAAAGGTGGCTAGACAGCTGAGAGTTAAAATGTCACGCAGCCACTCATGTACTGCTTCAGTTATATTGCCTAGATGAGTTCATTGAGACTGCAGTACAAATGCTTGCTTTTTTCCAGGTCACGCTATGGAGTATGGTTTCCAGTTGAATGTTTCTTTGGTATGCAGGTGTTTAGTCCCATAGCTGTTAATGTTAAAATCAATGGATACTTGAAAAAGAGTAGGATTTTAACTACTTAGAGCATTGTGAATAAAGTTTTGCTTCCCGCTGTAAAGAAAATTGTCTGGAGCCTTTTTAACTTGACTACCCACTTCAGCAAGTAACCCTAAATAGATTATTTTAAAAGTACTTGGAATCTGCTACTTGTTATCTGTTGTTATTGTGTTGTCCTGCTTCCAGACTGCTTAGTACACTTCCGACAGCATAATAAGAATGAGAAATCTGTTTTCTATTCCAATGCACAAAGAATCTATGCACCATTGGTATTTGCTGTGCCTGATGCTGGACAAATACATAAAGAAGCCAATAGTCTCTCTTTAGGTATGACATGCCAAGATGGGAATGAGGGAACTTTTGCCCCATAGCCCCAAAATTCCATGCTATTGCTTTTTCAACAGGAATCACACATCATTCACCACACATCTTCTATGTATAGCTGAGGACTATGTCATAGGCTTTTGGGCTCTGCCTAATTTTTTACAAGCCTTAGAAACCCAGTTTGTGAGGAAAAGATAAGTCTCATTTAAGGCACCTGAATGCCACCTGAAAGAATGAGATTTTCTTCCTATCTCTGTCCCAGGCTTGGTTGCAGAAGAGCTGAACACTCACACCTGCAGCTCAAAACTACCTGAAGTTATTTTTTCACCAGGCAGGCTCCTCTCTGTTCTGACAGTCTGAGGAAGATCAGTGCTCATTTATTGCAAATTAATTACCTAAATTGTGCATTTTGCTTGTTTGTTTGCTACCACAATCTTTCCGTGCCATGCCTGCCTATGGAGATAAGACAGTCATTTCACTTTGCAGGGATCTGTTGATGAATTAATACTTAAGAACCACTCAGTTGCTGTAGCAGTAAATGCCAGAGGTAGAATCAGAAACCAGAGGCAGGAGCAAGCATTGGCTGCTGACTCCCATGAGGCTTTAGTGTCGACCAGCTTGTCCCAATCTCTCTCCACAGTCTTTAGCTTGGCTGGGAGGTCCAACATCTTGGCCATTCCCTCTCAGAAGCTGCATATTTAGAGCTCAGATTGCTGTGTTAATTCTGGATGTGTGTTTGGCAGTCACGTCCAGTTTTGGTTATGCCTCTGCACTGTGAGGAGACAGCAAAAGCTCCTAGATAAGCAGAGCTTGGCAAAGCAGTCACTCAAGTGTTACTCTCTTCTCTGTGGTCCAGAGCCTGCTCTGGGGCATCCTGTACCAGAACAGTAAAAAGGATGTTGGCTGTTTTGCCATCCTTGCTTTGACTTTGTTCCCCTTTGGCTGAGATGCCACAGTTCAGGTCCTCAAGTAGAAACCATGAAGAGACAGGAGCACAGGTGATTCCATGTCAGGTTTCTGACTCTTGGATAATTAGGCATATGCATGAAAAAGGATATGAAAGGATGAAAATAGGAAAACACAACATCAAAAATTCCAGTTAGTGTTAAGAGCAAACTTCCTGTTAGAGCAAGTTTTTTTGAAGTTACCTGCACTGAGTGAGGAAGAAGACTACAGAAAAAATTACCTGGCTGACTGTAGTTTTATTTTGATCATGAAGATGGAATAGAATAAAATCTTAATTCTGGGATTTTCTAGCTGTGGAGCACCTGACTTTTTTGACTACTTCCACTGCTTTCAAAAGTGTTTTGTGTGTGACAGTTGATCACACACTGTTACTGCTGCTCAAGGTAGGTTCTGTGGTAAGCTCTGATAATTCATTGCATAGAGATTGGTATTTCAATGTACCAATTGCTAAACCCTCAGTCAGAGCCATTTGAAAATGCTGAGGGGGAAGATGTGTCAGTTTAGCATATCTGTACCTCGAAATATGTAATCTGGTCCCATTAAAATTAATAGAGCAATTCACATATTTATGTTCCATTTGTGCGGAAATGTCAGCAATTTACAAGATTATAGAAGAGATAAAATTCTAAAGAAGATGCAAGAGATGATAACAACCCTGAAATGGCTTGATTCAGGTGGTGATAATTTACTCCTTTTTTTTTTTATTACTGTGTTCAGCTGAGGTGTACTTGCTTTTTATTTACTTGTTAGAGTTCCTTTGTTGTTTGCAGACCTGGAAGAACAAGAAACAATCTAAAGGAAGGCAAGAGGAGGAGAAAGATATTTTGGGTAGATATTTTGGGATATTTTTTAGTTTAATTTGGAAAGATTAGTTTATTTGGAAAGATATTTGTGGATTTTTTTTAGTTTAATCTGGTCCAGAGACTTCACCACTGGGTTGTGGTGGCAGTGGACTGCATTCTGGAGCAAAGCAGTCAGTGCACTTTGGGGTAACTTAAAAGGAAATGCTGTATGGATATATTACTAAACAGGAAGATGGGTGTAGGTACCACAGAGAGGACCAGATGGCTGCACAAATAAGCTGTGTTGCAGCTTGATGGCTCTGAGTCTTGGTTGTTTGGGTTGTTTATTCTTTAGTTACTAGGAAGGTATACCAGTGCCTTCCACATCAGTGGCAGCTCACATGCAGTGGAAGTGAAAATGAATTAAGGAACACGGAAACTGCAATAGGGAAGGGAGAGGGATTGTCAGCAGAGACAAAGCATAAAAACTGTTAGAAATCTGAATGCTGAACTTTGATGTATTTGTCAGAATAGGATTATTTTGTCTCTTAAGTTCATGGACCTTAAAAGAAAAAAAAAAAGCCAAAAAAAAAAAAAAAAAAAAACCAAAACCAATAGAATACTGTTGGTTGTAAGCCAAAAGCAATTTTTTTCTGCCTTTTTTAATAGAAAGGTGTTTTCAAAATATATTCCTACTTTGTTTTCACTGTAAGGCTTTGTTGTGACCTCCTTGAAAACTCTGGAGCAAGCAATGTTGTTTAGGAGCTTTTGTGGCTTAGAGTTTAGAGCTGGGCGAGATTTTTCAAGCAGCAGCTTGAAGTTGTATTCTTGCTTAGGGCATGCTTAACTGAAGGAAAAAAGCTTTTCTTGGTTTGATGTTTTTTCCTTCTTTTTTTTCAACTATAAAGATAAATCTTCAGGCAAATGTCACAGTTGATGCCAGGACTTCTCAAACTGTAGAAACCTGGAAATTTTTCCTCCCCTTTCTTATCACAGAAGGCAGATATGCTGATGCACAATCTGCTCTGGGTCAGCATGAGAAAAAATAGTTGGATGGTGCTGGAGAAATGCTGAGGTGAACCAAATATAAAGGGAGCAGTTCTTGTAGGTAAGGTGTTTTGCACTGGAAAACACATAACATGTTATAGAGGAAAGTTACCCTGGCTTTGGTGGAAGATTTCATACCATAGTATGAAAGACTGACTTTAATCATGACAGAGACACATAAGGGGCTCCTTTCTACTTTGTTGAGGAGTTAAGTACAGGAAAGTGCAGCCTAATGCAGGCCTGTACACCATGCCCAGAGGGACAGTGCTGCAGGGCACTGATCCCATGCAGCACAGCTCTGATTAACCTGGTTTTGGGGCTCTGTGCCTCACTGCTTCCCCTAAAGGGAAGAGGCCTTGTGGAGGGAGGTAACCCTTATGGAGAACCAGTTTGAGTATTTGTGCAGTACTGGCTGCTTAGACTGGGTAAAGGGACCTTTTCCACCTCTGTGCTGTCATTACAGACTCCCCAGTGATTCTCATTTGTTAACTCTTCTGTACTGACATAGCAATAAACAGACAAACAATAGGGTAGAGTAAATAGATAACTTGCTTAAGTAGATTTCCTAGCAGTTCCTGAGATTTGGATTTGAAGGACTACCTACTCAGTAGATTTTTACACTTTATTGAAGCATGAGGCTTATTCCCCACTTCTGTCTGGAAATCCTGCCTAATTCTGTCTTCTCTCTTTCACTGACTGGGTGGTACTAGAACACAGGGTAGATGGGAGAGCTTGAGTGATCTGAACCTTATGTGAATAGCTTATATCTGAGCCCAGGTTTTAAATTACTGTCTCTTTTTCTTACAGTCTCTGACCTTTTCCTTGATGTGCTTGTGATGGGTTGTTTTCTGATGTTTCTCACCCTGCTGGCTTTCAGGTGGTGGGCAGGGGAGTGGCAGAAGTGTTCGACCACGTGTGGCCCAACAGGGCAGAAGAAGAGAACTGTACTTTGCATCCAGACAGTGGGATCTGATGAGCAGGCACTGGATGTCACAGAGTGCCAGCACCTGCTTAAACCAAAGACCCATCTGTCATGCAACAGAGATATCTTGTGCCCATCTGACTGGACAGTGAGCAACTGGACTGAGGTAAATTCATGTTAGCTGAAACACTGAACTTTTTCTCAAAATTACCTATTATAGTCAGCAAAAAGGACCATTGACCTGCTGTTTTGCCTTTTTAAATTTTTTTTCTAGAATACTTTTCTATAGTTTAGTAAGTTCACAAATCCTTTGTACAGAAAAAAACCTCCAGCCCAGGTTCCTAAAGACTTTGGGCAGTGTTGCATGTTAACTTGCTGAGCTTTTGGGACTGTGGAATGTGGTGTGCTTAGTGCTAAAGAGTCTGTGTGAGAGCAGTGGCTGCTGTGGGCCAGACTAGGGGGATGACTACTGTCATTTCTGTAGGTCAGCAAAACATTTATAAATTCTTTACATTCATATCTCTTGCATCCAAAACTCTGCCTTTTTCCCCATAGCTTTGGAAACATACGGGAATTGTTCAAAGCTGCACCAGGAGACGTTCAGGTTGGACATTGGGAAGCATTTCTCCTCTGGGAGGGTGGTCAAACCCTGGAACAGGCTGCCTAGGGAGGTGTTCAATGTCCCCAGCCTGTCAGTGCTTAAGAGAGCATTTGAACAGTGCCCGTAGCTTTGACTTTTGGTCAGACTTGAGGTGCTCAGGCAATTGGAGTAGGGGTTGAGGGTTGACTGTTGAGGGTTCCTTCCAGGTGTAAATGCTGTCTTCCCTTCATTTTTGAAAACTCCACTCTCGTCTTCTTCATCTTTTTTTTTTCATTAGACTCACTGCTGTGAGAACAGAGTCACATACTGAACTAAAAAAATCTTGTGACTATTGGATTGGTTTATGCTGCTCACAAACCATCATCACAAAATGTTTTGGGTTTTTTTTTGTTAATTGAGTAACCCCCATGTTTTAAATACCTGTTAAAAAATAGATTGAGCTTACATGACTAGCAGTACAATTATATAGGAATGGCACATTGCTTGTGCTCACATGCAGTTGGATTGTATTTACAACTTACTGATAAAAATGCATTTTTGCATCTGCAGAAACTGGAGAGTGCAGGTATTTCACTTGCACAAAGGACAGGAGCTGATGAACCTGCCTACTGTGAGGCTACACTGGTTGCTTTCCTGCTTCTGTTGCTGCAGAGCATTGGGATGCAATATTATTTTATAGCTGTGAACAACAGAGTGCTCCAGCAATGCAAAGTCACTGGTGTTTCTACTGCCCTGTGACCCAGACTAGCTCCAAAATGAGTTAAATGTGTCAGGGACAATAAAGCCCTGGGAAAAGGAGAGTTTGTCACTTCATGTTGAGCACCTGGTCAGGCTTCCTTGCTTCTTAGGAAGAATTCTTCCAGTAGGTTTTTTTGTAACATCTCCACTCCTACTCAACCAGTCATCCAGACTTAGCATCTCCAACCAGAGAAGTGTGATTTTATAAAATCCGTAGTTGAGGCACAGCTTCTGAAGGCATGGCTGTGCCTTTGGGCCTAAGGATGAAAAACATCACAGAAAAGAAGAACATCACTCCTTATCTGCATCTCCTTAGCTCCCAGCACTCTTTGTACACAGCAGTGCTCTCATTTAAATAGAAGCCAGGTTGGCTAATTACCTTCTGTAGTCTCTAATTGAGGATAGACATGCTAGTAGCTCTGGCAGCAGTTCATGGCTGTACTAAGACTGAATGAAAAATCCATTTCATAAAGTCAGCAAGGGTCTGTGAGCTGCATGGATCACCACAGCAGGTTGGTGGCACTGTGAGCAGCACTGAGCCAGTCAGGTGTGGGTTCAGGTCCAGGTTTTTAGTCTGTTTTTTTATAAATCTGGTGGAAAAGGTATTGACTAAATGACTTTGTGAGTCAATGAAGAAATCAAATTCTATAACATTAATTTAATGTTTTGTCTTCATCATGTAGTCTTTTTTCACTACTATTTCCCCAAGGTGACATTTACTGTTGAAAAATTTGGAAAGAACTCCATGGTAGCAGAACATCACTAGAATGAAAGGCTTGTTCTCCAGGAAAAGCTTTGTAATTCATTATTTGTCATGATGCTTCTTTATTATAAACAAATGCCATCTGATACTTCTGTGCAGGGAGATTACATTAACAGGTACATTAATTCTGTTTCATTTGCAGTGCACAGTCACTTGTGGTGGTGGAGTAAGGACTCGTAATGTCACTTGTGCCAAAAATAATGATGAGCCTTGTGACAGTTCCAAGAGACCAAACTCTAAGGCCCTGTGTGGTCTTCAGCAGTGCCCTTCAGCTGGAAGATTTCTGATTCCCCCACAGGCACCCAGAAGAGGCAAGATCATAATCAGGAAAACAACTGCTGATCCTGAACGGAGTCTTCCTCGCAGAATACCCAGGCCAAACCCCAAGTTCCATACAACAACAAAAATGCCCAAGCATGAAAGTGTAACTCCCTTTTTGCCTACGTCCTCTGGTTTGGTCAATGTCTCAGGAAAAGAGGGAGCACCCAACAGGACATTGCAGAGTAATTTTGCTAAATCAGGTGATGTTTACAATTACCCAGTTGTTTCTACTGAAAATAGCTCATATCAAAATAGTACTTCATGGCCTTTTCATAACAGCTTAAGTACTGAAATTATAAGGCATGCTGAAAACACCTCGAAAAGTGAGCCAGTTTCTACTGCACAGAGTGAGATGCAAAGAAGTGAGGACACTCCTGTTTCCTCTTTTACCAGTAATCCAGAAATAACTTCCAGCTATGATTACTTAACTGAGGAATCTGACAACACTGATGGGCCACTTGGAGTCAGCAAGAAAGCAGTTGATCTCTTTTACAGCACAGAGTTCAGTCCTGAAATCGGGACCAGAAGCACAACCTTGGACACTGCCTCTCCTGTCACTCAGAATGAGAGTGTGGCTTCTCAGAGCCCACCAGCATCTCCTCACCAAGACCTTTCTGTGCTCGGTCCTGTCAGCAGAGCTGCTCAAGGGCTGCCATTTCCAACAGCAGCAAACTATGTCAGTCTGCAAGTTGATGTTCCTGTTGTGGAGGTAACAACCCCACAAGCACTGGTTACAGAAATGCCCACAGAGCTTGGGCATGCACCGAGAGACCAGGCTGACAGCAGAGAAGAAATAAAGCTGCCTGACACTGTAACCACTATCACACCATCCTCAGCTCCCAAGCATGCTCTGAACAACCAGAATGCAGCATCTGAGGGTGTTTTAGTGAATGTCACAGACAACAGCCACATAATAACATCCAACAGTTTGCCCAGTGATGCCTACTGGATAGTAGGCAACTGGAGTGAGGTAAGTTATTCATTGCTCGTAAGAAGTGGAGAGTGTGAACAGCTGTCTGAAACACTGCTGAGGAAATGGAGTTTCTTAGTTTGTCACGATTTTCTGAAATCAGTATCATATATGTAAAATACCACAAAAAAAGGTGGTAACTTGGGATATCTAAGATTAGGTTGCTTATAGAGAATGAATATAGTCATCACAGGGCCTGGCCATAATTTACCAACTTTTATTTAATACCCTTCCCACTATAAAGTTTTGTTTTTATGTAAACAGAGTTCCTTTTATGCTAAAGGATTTTATATTCTTGATACCTAAAGTGAGAGATGTTGGTGTCTGAAGTAATCATCTCATTTTTTGATGGCCTTTTTTACCAAACTAGAGAGGGTCAGATCTGGAAACCTCCTAGTCCTGATCTGCCTCTGTGTCTCAGTGCTGATGGATAATGCTGTCCATGGTCTGTTTCTGTGTACCTGTTTGCTCTTGGGTGTGCTGGGAATGATTCACAATCATAGAAATGCAGAAATTCAGGGCCAAAAAGGACAGCATGAGGTTACTAAATGTATCTCATGCCTGTGGAGGCATATCTGGACCCCTGAGATGCTGCTGGATGCAGACAGTGGGTAAGACCCCCGCTCTGTCCTCAGTGCACCAGCCCTTGTTCAGGACATGTACTCCTGATGGCAGTTTGAGCTTTCGTCTTGTGCCTTCCTGTGGCCAGGTGAGAATGGCCTTAGCTTCCCTTGCTCTAGAGGGACAGGTGAAGAATTCCCTCCTGCCCATATCCCTGTAAGAGGAGACCTGCTTTCAGATCTGCTTGAGTGCAAGAACCTACAAGAGAAGATCAAGGGAATGGTTGTGGCCCCAAGCCCCCAGAGCCTGAGCAAAGGTCTGTCATGCAGAGATGCTACTGTCCCACTCATTCATCATCCACCTTGAAATATTTTCCTTACAGATAGCAAACAACTTCCTTGCTGAAAATGAGGATTCTCTTTTTTTATATGCATACTATGGAGGAAAATTATCTTCTTAATAACTCTTTTGGGGTCTGACGTCTAAATTCTTTCAAGATTTTCCTTGTGTTTTTAAATATCTGGGGACATTTTTTTCTTGTCTGATCTTGCTTCAGTTTCATGACATATTTTATATCAGTTGACATTCATTGTGGTCCCAGTGGACACATGGCATATAAAATCAACTAATTATTAACATTTTATGTATTACCCTCTTTGTGAAGGCAGAAGTGAGATTTGTCTTGTTTTGTAACCATCTTGCTTTGATGTATTCAATTTGTGGTCCATTGTAAATGCTGGATCCCTACTACAGTATTCTAGATCAGCAGAAGTTCTCAATTACATTTGGGAGCTCTGTGTGTGTGTGTGTGAATATAGATGTATATGTGTGTATGTTTGTGTATGCATGAAGAGTTTTCCCTAAATGTAGTATTTTGTATCTATTTTTTTATTTCACTACTGCTTTCTTACAGTTTTTTTTGTGGTGAGGTGTCACTGAATTCAGATTTCAACATTCCTGCCTACTCTCCCAGCTTGTCATCATCTTCAAATGCCTTAAATGCATGTTGTCTTTCCTCATTCAGTAGTTAATGAAAATGCTGAAGAGAGCCTGGCTTTGGAGCCCTGTAGAACCATATTTGAAAAGTCTGTTCATTTTGACATTGAACCACTAAGAACCACTTTATTACAGTTTTTCAGTTAGTTGTAATTATTTCACCTAAACTGTATTTACATTTGCTAAAAGAACGCTTTGCAGGATCATGTAAAAATGCATTACAGCAGCCAGCTCCTTATTTCATTAAGCCATGTTAGCCTGTCAGAAAAGGTTATTAGACTCACTTGAGTTATTTCTTCTAGATGGGTCCATATGGGCTTTTCTTTTGCTTTATCATCTTTGTTAGTATTTGCCAGTTTGATCTTGATTGTTTAATAATTTGGTTTTTATCTTCTTGTGAAGTGTGCTTGGATGAAGCATTCCATTAGACCACAGATAGGGCTTTTTATTTTTCTAGAGATAAATTGGAAGATATTCTTATCTAATCCTCTGGGACATTTCCAATCTATTACAAGAATTGATTCTCAACAGTTCAAAGATTCTTGAATAAACACTTGAATGAATGTAGAGATAAGGTTAATACATTTGCTTTCACAGAACTGATAAAATCAATTTGAAGATACTTAATGCATATAACTTTGTTATTCTTTAATAATTTAGTAGTATTTTGCTACTCTCATTCAAGCTATTGTTTTTTGTTAAAATAAATTTTATGGGAAGTGTGGCACATTGAACTTCCAATTTTTCAAATTTGAAGAAGTGATGAAAAAGAGAATTTATGGAATCTCCATCTTTGGAGATATTCTGAAGCCATCTGGACATGGTTCTGGGAAATTGCCTCTAGGTGGCCTTATCTGAGCAAAGCTCCTTTCCAATTTCAACCATTCCATGGTTCTGTTAATAAAGTCAGCTATTCTCTTTCACATTAAATAAAAGTTATCTATTTCACATCACACCTTGAGTCTGACATTTACAGAACCTTTTCTTTTTGTTCATTGCTTTTAATTAATTTTCAGTCTAACGTTTTCTGACTTTATTTTTGCTCTTTCTGTTTGCCCATCCTTAGTAAAACTTTGAATATTTTTCTAGATGACATCTCTCCAAGGCATTGGTATTTCAAGACTGTACCTACCCTGACAAATACTGTGCTGTGCTCTTTCTCTTTTAGTAGCTGTCAATATTTTGACATTGCTTTGCTCTGTAGGAGATGTCCACACTAGTAAATAAATAGTGCCAAGAGCAGTGATAGTCACTGAGGTGGAGAAGTGTGACATGTCCCATAAGAGGGCTGGCACTTGTCCCCTCAAGGGAGAGCACTAATTTGAGTTGGACAGAACAGTGCCCATTCCCACCAATGCTTGTCTGTAAATTTTACTTCTTTCCTACTACTTTCCTGGGCCATTCTGGGCTGTCATTTTTCCCTTTCTAAGAGCTTTCTGAGTAGCAAAGACATTCCATTACCAGCAGATCGTCTCATTCTAGTACTGGTTATCTCATTCTTCTCTTGGTCATGTCAAGTCACCTGCACTTTCTCCCTCTGTGACTGACATCTGCTGTGCCAAGGGGAAATTTTTGGTTCCCAAATGACAAAGGGAAAAGCAGTATGTCTTCAGAAACTTATTTAGCATCAAACAACAACTAGGAAAACTCAGGCTTTATTCTGAAACCCTTTGAAGAATCATGCCTTTCTCTCTTGACCTTGTGCTGCACGCAACTGGGTTTGAAAGAATCCTGCTGTTTCACCTTCCTCACACAAGACCATTAGTTTTCCTCAGTGTGATCTGCCCAACATCGTCTGTGGAGCCACCTTTGCTCTTCTCACGTGTGCTCAGAAAGGGCTTTAGTCAAAGACTTCAGCATCCCTTCAGTGGAGTCCTGGTGTTGTCAGGCTGGTGTAGCAAAGCTGGGGAAGGCATCAGGCCATCAGAAAGCAAGGCAGGGGCAGTCTGTCCTCTCAGTCAGAAAAATTGCCTTGGGTAGAGATGTCACTAGGCAGAACAGAGCAGTGGTGTGCAGTTTCCTTTAACAGGACCTTTGTGGCCACTTGGACACACATCCCAGGAGTCACCATGAGATCACACATCTCCAGTGTTGGTTTTTTTCCTGCCTTAGCTTCAGCTAAACTTTCCCTATTTTTCCAAGGACACTTATTCAGTGTTCTATATTTAACTTTCCCACTGCCACACAGGGAGTTCAAGCCACACAATAGCATTTGCTTTCTTCATCATTTTGCTGACTTAATCCAAGATTATTTATGCTGTTTCTCATGCCAGCTACAGGCTTCTTAGTGTGTGTTGAATTTGGCTCAACATGTGTAGCTCACTGACCCACCCTGTCTAAGGCAGAAAAAGGTAAATGGGTGTCTCCAACCAGTTTTCAACTCCTCCTGCTTCAGAATACAATGACAGTGTTTGGGATTTTTTGCGAGGAGTGTGCTCTCTTGGGATATGGACTGGAATAGTCAATATTCTCTTTCCTGAGACACAAAAATCCTCCCAGATGTTGAAAACACTCAGCCACTTCCTGAAATAATGATTTAGAGAAACATTTTCCTGTACAGTTTTCCTAAGATTCCTAATATTTATTTAAGATTTCCAGCATCATAAATTCAATTAGCTGACTCTCTCATCAGCAGTATTAGGGGTAGAGAGGGAACATGCTGAAGATTGGATGTAATTGCATTTTACTGTGGATCCCCAGAGATAACAGAACAAAACAGTGGAACAGCTGGTACAGATTTAGAATGTCTCGGTAAGCAGGAGTTTGCCAAGGAAAAGAAGTGCATCGTACAAATCAGGAATGGTATTGTCCTTAGAAACAAAAAAAAAAAGCCCTTCTTCAGAATATTAAGTAAAATTTGGTGATTTCAAATCTTTTTTGGATGTCTCTGATAACATATGTCATCTAAAACAGCTGTAGATATTTATATTTAGGTTCCAGGATTGTTTCCAGAATGATGGTCTAATGTTGAGTTTGCCCCTGGGCTTTCCTCTTGCCCTCGTGCAGTGCTCTGTGACCTGTGGAATGGGGGCTTTCTGGAGACATGTGGAGTGCAGCAGCAGGAACACATCTCACTGCCAGGACATGAAAAAGCCTGATCCTGCAAGGAGGTGTTATCTGCGCCCATGTGCTAGCTGGAAAACAGGAAATTGGAGCAAGGTAACTTCACTCAGGGCTGTGTATGAACAGTATGGTTGCAGATTTCAGTGGGTATGAAACTCTAAATATTTCATTTTTAAAACAATTATTTACTCAGTGAATGCATACATGATTCCTAGTTGACCACTCAGCACTAATTCACTAATTTCCTGACCAAGTTATATCTGGAAACACATCTGCTGTGAATTTTGTTCTTCCTGTGATGGGTTGTGCTCATTAACTCTGGCATCTAGAGCCAAAGCAGGACTCACTGCTCCTGTTCTTTGGAGCTGACAGGGCAAAGCTGTACACAGTTGCTTGTGACATCTTTTTAATCTCTGCCTCCAGGGACATATCCTAATTTTAAGAAGCAGTGGGAATTTGCAAAAGGAGTTATTGTGTTCCTACTCACCCTTGTCACCATGCAATTTACATGGTCTGTTCCCCATTCATCTAACTTCTAAGTCTGGTCTGTGCAGGATTCTGTTTGGCCCTAGTTTTGTACCCATGGCCTGTTCAAGGGACAGAAGAGTGTCCAGGGTGCTAAGTGGAACCCAAAGAATTGTGCTTGAGCCCCATTTTGATATTTTAAGCTGTGTGAAGAGCACCTGGAAGGACTTAGGTGAATTCTGGAAGCTTATTACATTTTGTCTTCATGCAGTCTAAAAATTGAGTTTCAAACCACAGGTTATTTTTCAAGACTAAAAAGAGATAAACTACAAAATTTTGTTTTAAATATTGTTGATTTAATAAGGAAAACGATAGGTGTCTCAAACTTAGGCAGTATAGATCATTTCTGTGGACAATGTTGTTGCCATTGGGCTAGAGGGCAGATTGATACAAATAAAAGGTTATAGTTACAAAGCCTGTGTTATTATTGAGCTCTTAGACATAAAATTGATTTGCACAGGAATTACATGCCTCTTTAGAAAGTTCAGGAAAGGCCAAGGCTTTACATAACTACATTTAAACCTCTGAAATTAATTTTAAGAGATACATAGACATCCTGCCCTCTCAGCTACAGTAGGGCAATTTCACCTTCACTTTTTCTTCATAAATGTCATTGCTCTTGCAACTAGTGAATGATGGCCATGTCACAAAAAATAGCTAGCAATCAGGTTTAATGATAAAATATAACAGGAAGCAATGTTTTAAAAATGTCAGACCAGTTATGAAACAAGTTTGAGGCAAGGGGCTTCTCCTATCAGATTTTTGTTGCCCTCCATTTTTTCCCTCAAGTGAACTATACAAACCTAATTGAAGTTTCATATATTAAAAAAGGTTAAATTTTGTTTGCTTTACAAGTGGCAATTGTTTTTTGTTACTCATTTCAAGTATTTTGAAGATGTGTTGTCACAGCAAGACGTCTGGGTTCCCTGCTAGTGCAGTAGAGCTTTTTCCGTTTTCTACTCTCATTTAATTTTTCCCCTCCCCTGAAAGAAAAGTGCTTCAGACGAAATCTTAGAGTCTGTGTTTAATGCCAGATGTATTTTCCATATATCTTGAGACTATTGTACTCAGTTTCTTACAGAGCCACTTCTGTTTCTATACAGAGAGACAGAAACCTGTCCTGTGGACAAGAGTATAAGGATTCCCTTTCCATCCATTCTCCATCTCCTAGGGGAAGCATTACATTCAGGTTCCTTGCTCAACTAAAGGATGCTTATTTATGCAAAGGAAAACATCATCAGATTCTATTTCATCATAGTGGTAAAGGTGAAAGGTGATCTAAGAAGCTTTCAGTGGTGCAGTTGGAATTGGCTTTAATTCTGCTTGAAGACAAAACATGTATTTTTCCTTATCCCTGGGGTAGCAAATTCAGTTCTTCATCAAGAGCAAGAAAGGTCCTGAATTTTGGTGCCTGGAGACAGGACCTGGTGATGCTGCATGAGATTTGGAAAAAGCTCTGGCTAGCAAAAGGAGACTGGAAGGGTTCACGTAGCTCCTCAGCAGAGCTCTAAGCTGGGCAGTGATTTCACAGGCTGTGGGTGAGGCCCAAAGTGCCTCTCTTCTCCCTCCCACCTTCTCAAACTGAGGGTGCTCTTGGGGTACGAACTGTCCTGGTGCCATGGAGGTGCAAGGATACTGAGGGTGGGAGCTGCTACTCACTCCCTTCTCTCTTTGAAGCAGCTAAGGAACTGCTGCTGACAATATCCCTACATTCAGAATCCATTTTTTGTATTTACTGCATTATGACTCTTTCACTATGGCATTTTTGGAAACAGCTGGCATGATTTCCCAATTAAATATGTATCCATAATATTAATGGCCATAGCAGTGTAGCAGGGGATTTGCTTGCATGGCATGTTGTGGGCTGCTGTGAGGAAAGCCACAGCATTTAAGCCTCAGGACAGGTTGGTGTTACAGTAACCTGGAAATTCCTTCCATTCAGGATGCTCACAGCTCAGGCTGTCCTGCTCTGTGACTGGGGAAGGCACAGCCCCTCAGCAGGGCTCATCATGTGGAGATGTGCCCCTCTCTGTTTTGTGTGCAGTGCTCTGTGAACTGCAGCGGAGGCTTCAAGACCCGAGACGTTCACTGCATTGATGTTGGGGAAAAGCGGCTGCTCAGGCCTTTCCACTGCCAGTTACTCGGCTACAAACCACCGCTCAGCACTAGCTGTAACACAGAACCTTGCTTGCAATGGCATGTGGAGCCCTGGAGTGAGGTACTGTTCCTTAAGAGAAGCTTTGTGAGTCAGCAGTCTGCTTTCAGGTAACAGCGGCTGTTGGATCCCGTGCTGTCAGGTAAAACTGTGCTCCAAGGAAGACATGCAGCTGGTGAGTTCTTGTGCATGGCTACAGCAAAAATTAGCACAGGTGTTCATTATGCTTCACCAAATCGTTCTTACAGCTGGAGCTTTAAATTACATGTCCTGAAGGGGAGAAGCAGATGGCCTGGAAGAAAATTTGTTGTAGCTATACTATTGGACCAGTAAATGTGGTTCATTTACATGAATCCTTTTTGCTGCTGTTTTAATCTTGTGTTCTCATTATGGCAAGTTTAGAATGTTCTTTACACTTTTGGACTGAAATTTTATGGAGCAAAGGCTTAGACCAGACATAAGATAAATCTGACTTTTGGGTCCCTTTGTAACGCAGATCTGTGCCAGCCACCTCAGAGGCAGCCAGGCAAATATTTATGTCATCTAAAGCATGTGGCCTGATTATATTTTAGAATTTAATCCCACTGAAAGCAGCTCTGGAGAACATGTGTGATGATATTTGCAGCCCTGTGGACCTAATGCTTTGGGATTTTAAGGGAGGTGATCACATTTTCTTTACATTGCACCAACAAATCACACCTGGAGGAGACCAGGGTGTGCTGTCAGAGCAGTCAGCACGGGGAGAAAAAATAAAAACATCTGAATGATTGCAATTGCTTGCCACTTAAAATACTTTATAAAAACACTGCTCCAACCCTGGGAGTTGCCCTGATGCTAAAGACACTGGGTAGAAATGAATTGAAAGGGTTCATTAATCAGATGTCACATATATTGTCCTGTCCATAGGGGTGCAATTCCTTGTAGGACAGTAACAATGCATTATTCAAAGTATATTTGATACCTTATTTCATATAAGAGTATAAAATACTTTGCGTATTTCAAGCAGACTTCGTGAAAAAAATAGTAAAAAAGTCGGTGAATGAGTAATTCTAGAATGTGGACAGAAGAATGTTTAAAAAATAACCTGAGTCGCTATCTTTGCCTGACAGTTTTACTGCCAAAGAGTTCAGTTGTTGTATGAATTGAATTTTAATGTTCCCAACCACCTCATAAGAAATGAGATCTTATGAATGTGTTGTGTCTTCATTTAGTGTTACAGATTAATCCTGCTGACACATGACTTCTACTCTAATTCTTGTTAGAGATGCTACTGGTGTTGGTGATGCTGATGAGCAGTTCTGTGTTGCCTGTTCTGTGTAGCCACTTCTACTCTGCCCTTTAGTCCTTCCAGTAGTGTGTGCCAGGAGCAGCTTTTCCCCATATAGCAGCTTCTTCTCAGTCTCCTTCCAAGCACATGGAATAAGTGCTGCAGTGCAGAGCTTTTCTTCATGTCTGCACTTTAGTACTTGATGTGCAGGCAAGCCTGTACATCTTTCTATACCCATGGGCCTGTGACTCTGTGTCCTTGTTATCTGTGGCCCCACATGTTCTAAATGAACCTGTCCAACCATCTTTGTGGTCTGTTTGTGGTTTCTCATGCTGTCCCACCCCTGGCTGTGCCCCTCTCTTGGCAGTGTTCGAGGTCGTGCGGCGGTGGCCAGCAGCAGCGGCGCGTCTCCTGCCCGCGGGAAGGGCGCTGTGACTGGAACAGGAGACCTGATCCCATGGCACCGTGTAACAGCCAGCCTTGCACTCAGTGGGTGCACATGGCCTGGAGCCCGGTAGGATTCAGTTTATTTCTGGGCTTTGTTTGTCATGAGCTGGCCATATTTGGTCATGTTATCCACTTGTCTCTGAACCTCAGCACCTGTGGCAAGTACAGTTCCTTATGCACAGCTGAAGCTGCAAGAGGAGAACTTCTGAAAACATTACTGAACATTTGATAGCCAGCTTATGTCCATTCCTTCAGGTGACAGATAATGTAGCTTCTGGCTTTTGTTGCTGTATTAGAAGTCATTGGAAGTCTGCCATCTTTTATCTTGTCTAAGAACAAAGGAGTTTTACCATTAACATTCTTCCTCTGCACATTTGAAATATTCCACTGTTAGAGGCTATTGGAGGGGATCGGGTGATCCTCAAAACAGCTTTGGGGAATATTGTACTTGCCCACACAAAGAGAAATTCTGAATTTTGACCAATAGCCTCCTACATAGTACCTGGCAATCTTATTGAAAAATATGAGGTGTACCTTTGGGGAAACTTCCACTATCTGCTATACACATTTATCTATTGCTATACATATTTATCTATAAAGAAACTAGTATATCTAATAAACCTTTCCCTGCAGTTTCCTTAATAAACATTGCATACATTACAAGAACTCCTCACAGCATAATGGAATATTGAAGGAATGCTAAAAGAAGGAGCCACAGATCAGGAAACATTGGAGTCTCATTTAACACAGAAAATTCAATGAGTTGGTTTTGACGCAAAGCCATTAGATGGGATGTGACTATAATGTACTGTAGAGTCAGTGTAACACTTAAATATAGAAGTGAAGCACATAAAATAAGTAACAGAATACCAAATGTTATTGCAAATATTTTACTTATTTATTAATTCCATATTGATGTATTCATTATTAATTTTACTTCATAAAAATATTTTAAACATCCATATAAAGTAGTTGCGAGAATGCCTAAGATCTTTCAGTCTACCTCATGCCAGTACTATTGTGCTTCATGTACAGAATACACATTAGAAAGGGGATAATTTGCAGAAAAATTACAGAGGTTCCACTCCTGTCTTCATCTCTTGTGCTTCATTAGCTGACATTCTCTATCTTCTGAATTCTTTATCTCATTTATCTGCTGGCACTATTTATCTGTAGAGAAAAAAACAAACAACTAATTGGCATTCTTAGATGCTCTGGGAAGTCACAAGAATTAAGTACATTTACAGAATTATACAGGAAGATATTTTAAAAGTGTTTGGGTTTTATGGCCTTCTGTGTGCAGTCAGAACAAGCAGCTGGCTTTTTTTTTGTGGATAAAGAAAGGGTAACCTCTGTTTAAAAGCCAGGAAAGAAACAAAACCTTGTTGGACTTTTTTTTAAAATCTTAGTTTGGTCATTTATAGACCTAACATTGCAGTTGGTTATTCATGTTTACCTTAGATAGTCAGAAAACACAGGAAGCAAAAACTGTCCTAATTCTTATGAATTTGGTTTAAGTCTCTTCTGTTGTAGGACTGGCATTGCAGGTCATCCTTTCCTCTGTAGAAAACAGTCCTTTCCCCCTGTTTACACATTCCAAGATGCTGTATTTATACCATTTACCCTCTGCTGTATTCTGCCAAATCTGGCTAAAATGCACCACGGAGGTGTCTGGATGGAGCATACAGTACGCAGATTACTGGAGTGGCATTGCTTCTGGGTCACAAGGCAGTTTCAGCTTCCAGTCACATCACAGCTCAAATATTGCCATATTGCAAAATTTCTATGTAAAAAAAATTTATGTATGGTAAAATTACTCTTTCAGTGTGCTGTTTCTTGTGGAGGGGGCATTCAGCAAAGAACTGTGAAATGCATGAATACAGAAACTAAGGAAACTGAAGATGACAGTATGTGCCTGGATAAAGCCAAGCCCACAAAATACCAGAAGTGCAATCTGCAAGAGTGCAGGAAAAATACAGGTAGAGTAATGCACATGCATGAAACAGTTTTCTCCATGTCTACAGAGATTCTGCAAAAACTGGGAGCTGACTCTATCAGCTTCTTTTGAGTAGCATGGGCTCAGTAATTGCAGGTCACCCTGGCCTGTCCCTGCTTGTCCCTGCTCAGTTGCTCTGTTGGCAGAACCACACTGTTGTCTCTTCCAGCACTTCTGGCCTTGTGTAGCCATGACGGGGAACCTGCATCCCTAATTTATGATGACACAACTAAATTAGTAGGTCTGATTGTATTGGCCTCTTTTAGCTAACTCAGGGTGCAGTGAGGACTGTGGAGGGACACACATTAAAAAACAGTTGCCATTTCTTAAGATAGATCCCTCTATGGAAGCTGTAAATTCTGGACTGGGAGTGCAAGCAAGCAAATTCTTACATACACTGTAAAAAAACCCTTGTAAAAAAACCAGTGTCCCATAGGGTAAGACTGTCCAAAATCAATTGGTGAAGAGAAGTGCTCTTGTGAGTCAGAATGTCCTGTACCTCTGTCCTTCAAAGGCCCAGGAGCCCAGCTATGTACATGGTTAATAGCCCAAAAAAAGAGGCATCAGCGGAAGGGGGAAGCTTGCAGAAGGAATAACATCTTTATGAGCAGTGTGTGTACTGCTGCATCCAGGAGGTACCCTCAGATCAACAGCAACATCTCACAGCTCTTCTAGAAAAACTTTCAAAAGCCTTTTGGAGCATGATCTTCCCCGTTAGTCAGTGCTAAGGGTCCAAGTTGACAGTGAGACAATGGTTTGAATCTGGAGGGCAGTGTGGATCTGACATGCTCTTGAGAGTGACGCATCACTGCTGCTGCTGTTCACAGAATTTTAGCACATGTTTTGCCCTGGGGTGGATTGGTCTGCTTATTTCCTGTCCCTCTCGTGTTCTGAGAGAAAAACTCAGATAAATACTGCCTACACACATTAGTAAGAGTAACTTCTGTGAATAAAAGTTCAAGTGGCCTGTAAAACATAATAAATGCCCTACTGGGTAAGCACTGGTCCATGCAGCCCACCCTTATGTCTCCAACAATGGCATTAGAAAATGCTGCTTAGCAGGAATGCAGGAGGTTGGAGCTTTCCTGAGTTTCATTTCCATGACAGTTCTCCAGCATTTCCAACTGATGTATATTAGGACTATTAAAAGTTCTCCTTTTTATTTTAACTTTCATTATGTTGCAACTCTTTTTGATGCTGTTGTCTGCTCTACCCTCTCCTGTGGCAGCAAGTTCAAAAAATCATGGAATTGTCAAGGCTGGAAGAGACCCTCAAGACTATCCAGTCCAACCATCCACCCAGCTATGCCGCTGTAGCCCCTGAGCCACTCAAACACATCACCCAGATCCAGATGCCTCTTGAACACCTCCAGGAATGGTGACTCCACCACCTCCCTGAGCAGCCTGTTCAATGCCTGACCATCCCAACAGTGAAAAAATGTTTTCTAAAGCTAATCTGAGCCTCCCCTGACTCAGCTTGAGGCCACTTCCTCTTGTTCTCTCACTGTGGATGTGGCAAGATAGGCTGACCCCCACGTCACTGCAGCCTTCTCTCAGGTAGCTGTACACGCCTGCAGTCCCCTGGGTCATCCTTCTGACCCTCCCAGAGATGGGAATTACATTTGCTGACTTCCAGTCAGGAACTTCTCCAGTTAGCCAGGACTGCTGGTAGGAGATGGAGAGTGGTTTGGCAAGTTCTCTCACCAGTTTCCTCTTTACTCTGGGGTATGTCCCATCTGGGCCCATAGACTTGTGAGTGTCTTAATTGGCAAAGCATGTCCCTAACCATCGACAGTCCTGGGTTATGGAAGCTTCTTTCTGCTTCCCATCCCTAACTTCCAGCTCTGGGGGCTGGATATCCTGAGGACAGCCATTCTAGAGGTTCACAGCCTGGTGTGAAAAAAAAAAACCTGCTTTGATCTGTTTTAAATTACCTTTATACTAGTTTTCTTTGCGTTTCCCCCATTGCAGTGTTGAAGGATTTGCTGGAGAACAGCCTTGCTAATATACCATCTTCCTTCTTTTGCACACCTTGCCTTCTCAAAGCTGAGGACCTCCAGTTTCTAATATCTGGCTAAATCTGGCCCATCTCAGTCCCTCAGAGCTGCCACAGACCCATCACCACGGTGGTGCAGGCAGCAGCAGTCCCTGCCATGTTCTGATGCTGCAGGAATCAAGGCATAGCCAAGCTGAACATGCAGCTGCATATGCATTGTCTGCACTCTCCTGCCTGCCCTGGCTGGCTGTGCAGCACCCTGCCAGCCCATCACGCTCATCTTAGGGGCAGTTAGTTACAAGAATGCAAAAGTACCAAATTCAAGTCATTGTTGCCAGGCTTTCTCTGGCAGTCCTTATCAGCAGAAAAGTCAAAGTGGAAAACATAGATCAGCTGTGTCTGCCACAAAAGTAAAATCTCAGTGAACAGTCATATTTCCAAAACAGAAGGTCATGTGTTCACTAAAAGATCCTAGAATTTCAGTGGGACGTCAAGCTGACCCATAATACAAGGGAAGAGAAAGCCACCATGAATAACACCCTTAACAGACATGACCATCTGGCATAGAGCAGTTCTAAATTCTAGAAATATGGGGAGTGTGTCAGCAAAATACAGCTAATTCTTGTCATCTTCTTCACTACAGGGCTGCCCTGCAGCAAAGACCAGCTGTCAGTTCACTTCTGCCAGAGGCTGAGAGGCATTGGAAAGTGCTTGCTGCCATCAATACAGACTCAGTGCTGCTTCACCTGTAGTCAGCCCCGAATTCGGAGCAAAGCAAGACATGGGGATCAGCACGGCTTCAAACAACAAAATTACACTAAATCTAGAAGAAAACCACCTCAAAACTAAGAAAACAACAACCAAACAGCTTGGCACTAGCTGTTTTATTCTTGTTTCCTTGAATAGAGCTTCTGTTTACAAGTTTTACCTTCCTTATTTTTTTCTGAACCATCCAGCATAAATGGAAATCTGTGATCAAAACTGGGAAAGCACATCACCTAGGGTTATCAGTCATAATTTACTGCTTCCATTTTTTCTCTGTAATAGTCCAAAGTTTATAATGTAATTTTCAGTGTATCAGCAGCTAGTACTACTTAGGCATGCATAGACACTAGAAACAGGCTTGCAAGAATTTTCTGGTTTTTTGTAATGAATGTTTAACTTGTTCTTCCATCTCTTTTCCAGAACCCACTTGAAACACCAGCACTGCTTTCTCAAGAGTGCTTAGTGAAGGTGGCCCTTGGGGCAACAGACACATACCTGTGCCATGGGCCAGTTCTCTTTATGCTCTCTTGCCTTTCGTTTTAGGAATCAAGGTGAAGTGGCAATGTTTCTTTAAATTCATTGCTCACTTAATAGACTTAAAAGCAGAGTTTTGTAATATCTGATTATTATTGGCAGGATGAATTCAAACTTGTTTTTTCAGGAGAAAAAAAATCTTTGCTTAGTACTTGACTGAACCTCTAAAGGATACCTCAGCCATAATCTGTTCTTGACAGTTTTCTTCTGCTACAAATGTCTTGCTGTAACTTGAGAAGCCCAAAATGTGGGATGTTAAGTTCCCAGATATTTTTTAAGCAGCATTTCTTGGTACCACAAAAGCTAAGACATCTGCATCTACCACCTTAACAGTCATAGAATAGTTTGGATTGGAAAAGATCTTTAAGATCAACAATTGCAGTGCTGCCAAGTCCATCACTAAACCACACCCCTAAGTGCCACATCTGTATGGTTTTTTACACATTTAGGGGAAAATCAAGCAACGTCTTTTAGACAGTTTTATACATTCCATCTGATAGAATAATTTCAGTTTAAAGAAAAATTTGGTTTTGCAGATCTTTTGCTAGACAGGCAATAACATTCTTATGTATCATCTGTAGTTCCTGTCCATTTAAAATTAACTGTCCAAGGCCATTTGAAATTGGATAAGGCAACCAGCTCAAGGCTATTGCCAGTCTCTGTAGCTGCAGGTATTCAGACACAAATGGTACATGTCAGCAGCACATAAAAAGCTGTCAGAAAATTGATGGAGCATAAAGGTTGTACCAGCTTGTTCTGCAGCAAAAATTTAACCTCAGAACTTGCTCTTTGGAAGAGGTGGTGTTCTCTCTCTCTTGACTTCTCACTTCCACCAGTTTTATGTGAGTGGTCAGCTCCATTTAGTTCAAGAGTGTTACAGCTGCTGAACAGAGGAGCCAGGAACCTTCACTGTAATGGTTTCCAGACTTTACAGCATAAAGAATAAAGGAGTCACACAGTGAGAAAGCAAAAGACTTCTAAGCTGATGTAGGTAAGGACAATTGGAAGTTGAATCTTTTGCATTTAAAAAATCAAATCTTTCTCTTCTTTGAAAAATGAAAGGAAATAGCAGTGAGCTGGCCCAGCTAAACAGTTTTGCCAATTTCAGATTAACTTATGTGATGGAATTCAGCTTTACAGACTTAAACCTTTCCTGCAGCTTCAAATGGAGCATGCAGGCATTTCAGCAGGAAATTACCGTTCTACATTTTGAAATTAATTTTACACCATCAGCATAAAGGCCAGCTAGCAACTGGAAACTGTGTAATTCACACAGTTCAGTGGCAGAGCTATCATGCCATCCAGTATCTCCTGCCAGAGCATAAGCCCACGTTCACAGGAGCACTCTACCACCTCACTCACAGCACTTTTCCCACAGTGTAAATCCATAATCACAGTGGAGCTGAGGGCTCCTGGGGCAGCAGCCTGAGGCACAGAGTGGTGTCTGCAAACCTCGGGCCCCAGGCATGAGGGCACCCCTAGTCAAGTAGCAAATCTGTTTTGCTAGTGAAAAAAATACCAAAACAAACTTCAGGGAACCAAGACCAGACCTTTTGAACAAAGCTGGGCATTTTGAAAAGAGCTGGACAAGAGCAGACATTTAGGTTTCTTTGGAATTCAGTAGGATTTAGACACCTTGGTTCTTCTGGCTTTTTTGAAAATCTCAGATTTGCACCCTACTTACCTTACCATTTCAGATTTTGTAGTACAGGGAAATGCACATTTTATGCAGTATAGGGTGAGACACACAGTCCTGAATCCAAGTGTCACTGTGGTTACAGAACTGTGACTAGCAGTAGCTTTTTTTCTAGACAGACTTTATGAAAGTTAATAGAAGTATTTCAGCCTGGCTATAATGTACTAACCTAGTGATGGCCATGAGTCAAATTGTCATTTTTCAAAGGTTTGTGTCCTTTGGCTAAGGACTTACTTCTTCACTTGAAGTCTCTGGGAGTTCAAAATATGCAGCATGGTAAGGTTAGATTTATTAACCTCTGTGATGGCAATATAACCCCAGTTTTAGGTGCTGATAAAACAAAATCCACTGTTAAAAGTGTGGTGCTAGGGTAACAGACATGGGGATGACTTGCAATGGTGCATGTGTGTGCATGCACACACTCTTACAGTAATGTATGTCTGTGGTGTTGCTGGCCAATGCCCGACATGATGCTTTTTAAGTTTCACAGTTTGCTTCTCTCCTCCTGGGGACCCTTTGAGCAATACAAACCTGGGCAGTTCTTACTCCTCTGGACACAGAAGTGTTGAATCATGCAGGAGCAGAGGTGTTGTCCTGATCCAGGAGGGATTTGGGCAGGGATCAGGCTTGGGCTGTGGGTGTGGAGCAGTTCCCTGACAGCCTGGCCTGGTGGGCAGTGCAGCTCCTCACATTCCCAAAAACGTTCTGTAGGATTTGGGTGGGACAAAGCTCTGGGTCAGATTACTCTGTGCACAGAGGTACCTGCACAACATTTTACCCACAGAGGTCAGCAGAAGGAGGCCACCAGGTATTTGGCTTAATGAGAAAGGAGCTGATGGAGTGGATGTGGTGCAGGTTGGAGGAAAATGCCTACAGGAGTTGTCCTTTCCAGTGCTCCTTAGGGCTAGTGTGGAGTTAAACCATTTTTGCCTCCATTGTTTTCTTCAGGGAGCTGTTATTTCATTTGAAATGAATAAAAAGTGAATAAATTATATTATGGATATTAGTCAGAATAATCATTCTACCCAGGGAAACGCAGTCATTACTGTTTCTCAGCTTAAAACTTTAAGAAAAATACTGTGACAGCATGAAGTGTTTAACAGAGCAGTGCCACTGCTATTATGACACAACTGTTCTTAAGTAAAGGTGGATTTATGATCTGAACCCAGATGGTCATTAGTCTCAAAACGAATTGAATACTAACTGCAGAGGTGTATTATCATAATATTATTGTATTAGCCCGAGACACATCAGCTTCAACAGAGTGCTCAGGAAAAAATGTGTATTTGTCACATTCACAGCTTGTTCTAACATTTCAAGGTTTAAAAAGCAAACTATGATGTCATATTTGTTTCAAGCTTCAATAAATGGCATTGCATAGATTTGATGTCTCTGGTATTTTGTGTTTCCAGTGCAAGAAGATTTGTATAATGGAATTTCCAGGAAAAAACAAAAAAATTAAAAATATATTTTATATGTCAGAGGTCTCCATCACTGAGTTGTTTTGGTGCTTGATACTCCAGCATAAAAAAGATCATTACAATGGGTGAGGGGAAAAAAGTAGAAGAATATGGTGATAAGTAAAAATATACACTAAAAGGATTCATTACTTCCCATGAAATAGAGGAAATCTTACCACTTCTAGTGGTTAAGCAGATATGTCTTAATTTTTTGGCAGCAGGTGAGAGTGTCTGTTATGTCTATTGAAGAGTTGCATATAATATTACCATGTCCCTTGTCCCCCACCCTGAATCTCCTCAACACTCGAGTTTTGCCAGTCGTGCTGCTGCCCATGCCCAGAAGCTTGGTCAGACCAGCCCTGATCCCTGACATCTGCCCAGGAGCACAGTTGGGCTCGGGCAGAGAGCGCCCTCAGCTCTCACTCTGTCCCCAGACCCCACCCCAGGCCTCTCTGCGTGGGCCCAGCCTCACAACAACACCCTGTGGAAGTCGCAGGATTTGCTCCTCCTTGCTTTGGAGCCTCCAGGCCCCAGGGGCAGCGCCCTGCACAGGGTGAGCTGATCTGAGGAGGGATGGAAGCTCCCTCTGCCTTCCCAGGTCCGTTTTTGTGTTCTGGAGGAGCCAGGGCTCAGATCCTGTGGGAGGCTCACAGCCCGCCTTGGCTCGGCCCAGCAGCACTGCCACACAGGGACGTGGGGCTTTAGAGAAGTTCCTGCCCTTTGCCCAGGCCTCTGGCAGCAGGCAGCAGCTTTATTGAGGTGACCAGCACCCCAAAACCCACCCTCATTTGCGAGTTCATTAACAATGGCTGATTTGCTCTATTATAGGACGGATTATTTATTTAATAGACACAAAGCTAACAGACATAAGAATTAAACCAAACTAATACTATACAGGAATAAGGACAAAAAGAGACTACTAGAAGGTAAATACAGAGTGAGATTAACCTATCAATGTTACAGCTAGTGAAAAAATAATATAACTTAGGATTCAATGTACCTTACCATCCCATTGTTGGTGAGACTCACATGGAGATCCTTTTCTTCAATCCTCAGGGAAGTAACCATGTGTCCAAACTCTGTGGAGAGGTCTCTCACACTTTCAGGGTGTGTGTGTAGAGGCTTTCTACCTCTGTGATAACTTGTGTGTCATTCATAGTTTGTAGAACAGGGTCTCTTAGTCAAGAATATTTATTTTATCTCTTCCTACATCGGCTCTCCATACTAAGATGTCGATTCTTAGCTGAGGCCTGAGCCCTTTAGGTGCCAGATGCCCCTTGCTGAGCCTTTCAGGCCAGGTTATCTCTTTATGCCCCAGCTCTCTGGTGAGGGGACAGGGGTGTAGACATCCTGCCACCAAAGGAACTGCCTGTTGGCTGCCCACATCACCTCGA